TTTGCAGAATCAGAAATAAAATTTGATGGTTGTCTGTGCTATGTATTTCTGATGGAAATTTTCAAATGGGATTAATCAAAGAGTTTTCAAAAGCTCTGGAAGATAACATGCACCACTCAGGTAAATTATTTTTAAGATGTATGGAAAAACAAAATACCCTGCATTATATATATTATATATACATAGTAGATACATATATAATGTTGATATAGAAATGACCCACCAGTCACTGGTTTGATTTCATGTTGTACAGCCTGATGAGGCTCTGTAAGCCTAGAAACAGCACTTTCACAACACATGACTTCAGAAATTATGCAAATCCCTACTAAGGTCCCACAGTATCTTTCTGAGATTATCTGATAGCTTAAGTATTTAAGTTGCCATATAATTAAGAAGGTGTGGTGCATATAATTACTTGGAAATAGCTAGTTTGTTGACAGTATTTTTAATAGTTCATTTTCCTGTTCAAAAACAAGTATGTCACCAAGCTCTTAGTAGAAAGATCATGAGATATTCCTATTTATTCTTTCAGTGCTTGTACAATAATGGGGCCAAATATATTTTTGTGTTTTAATGATGCATCAGTGGCTATTTTTAGAGCAATTAGGTTTAAAACAAACAAAAGCATCCTGCATTTAATGATCTGACTTTGCACTAAGAAATTCAATAGCCATTTCCTAGCCTGTATGTATGGTTTCAGTGGTAAAATATAAGATATTTGTGTTTGATTTACAATTGGATTTATGTTCTTTTCCTTGCTGTTCTCTAGAAGAATTATAATGAGAGCAACTGAGAGATCAGAAATTCATTTTTACAACCTCCTCTGACTGCTCATCATGCAATACATCAATAATACATCAAAAAGAAAACTGTACATTCAGAGTGGAAAATGCTATTTTTTTATAGCAGTGATACATATCAAATTATCAGTGGTTTTTATCTCAAAGTGTATCTATTGTCAGGCATTCACTGAAATCTCCCAAATAGTTACTCTTGCTCTGTCTGCAGTCCAGAAAAATAGTGCAGTTTAAAATTGTAGCAACCAGTCAATGTAACATGAGAACTGGGACAAGACTCAGTGTCTTTCAAAGGAAAAAGGATCCTTCCTGCTATTTCAGTTAGACCAGTATCAGCCTAGCCTCACTTTTAAAAGGATTAGACTGAAAAAGGAACTGAGTCACTGCATCATATATTCCTGTAATAACTAGCTTTCATGTAGTCAGCCCCCAAAGCAGCTCCAAAAATCTGTACCAGAAACTTGGATTTCAGAAGGAAACAAAGAAAAGTTTGTTAGAGTTGTTGTTAATTAAAGTTAAGAGTAAAAACACAGACTGCAAAAGTCAGTTTTAAAAGAAGCAATATGTTAAGTAGAGAAGTACACAGATCTTTGCAATAAAAGAGAAATGTGTTTCAAGTGAGACAGGGTTCTGTTTGACTGTAGGCTGTACTTGGAGGGGACCTTCCAGCACCCCAAAGCCCTCCCCTTTTCCTGAACCAACATCTCATTTTTTGAGAAGGGGAGATGGACAAATGGGTGGCTGTGTGAAGAGAAGGAAACTGGGACAGCCCGTTGATTCTAGCTGAATGCTCTTGCCAGGCTTCCTTACAGAAGAGGCAAGAACCACTTCTCTATGTTTAAAAATATTGAATATCCCCTTATTTTTACAGAACCCAAACACACTAATACTGCAGTTTTAATTAATTTAAAAATGCAGGTTCCAACCTCATCAAGCCATGAAAGAGATGAGAAAGCTGGTGTTTGCTCCTGCATTGTGCTTCAGTGTCAGGCTGGGAATGGACTGGGCTCAGAAGCTGGGACTGGGATAATCTACACCCCACCAAGGAACAAAGCCCCACCAAGGAACAAAGAAAAGCCCCACCAAGGAACAAAGCCCAGAGGAAAATGTGACAAATCTAAGGATATTCACAGCTTCCAGCTGTCTCACATACAAAGCAGACAAAAAACAATTTACAGGAGCACAAGTCTGTACTTGTTTAAATACTAATATATGGGCCAAGCATTTCTCCCCTTTGGAAGTCTATTACCATTTCCTAATCAATCCTTTCCACAAATTTCAGAACCTAATGGTAGAAAATAACACTTATTTTGAAAACTGGGAGATGTTTCAAGAGACTAGTAAAGGACTCAGTGTTTTTCTTTAGGAAAAAAATAAAGCAACATAACAATCAAACAAACAGGAAATTAGAATCCAGTCAACTTGATTAAAATTCCCAGATGAATGCAAAAATATTTTTAGATACCTGAAAAATAACAAAATTATAAATACTAACCAATGTGATTTGTTCATAACAGTCTATCAAACCAACCTAGTTTTCTATGTCTGGTTCTACAAACATAAATAAATTGAAGATGTTCACTTCAGCAAGGCTCTTCTGTTTCATTGACATTTTCTCAAGAAAGATATGGAGATTTGATCTGGACACAAAGTCCACCAATTTGATGCAAAACTGGTTGTACTTAGAGGATCACTATCAACAGTTTATACAAAATAATATCAAAATGGAAAAATACTAAATTTCCATCAAACAAAATTCTTTGTACACTTCCATATGGTAATCTCTTTGCAAAAGGCTTAGAGACCACACTTACCCCTGGCTGGAAGGTGCTGCAAAGAGGAGAAGCAAGAGTAGAGTTTGAAATCATTGCAACAGGGGGATGATGATTCTACAAACACTCAGCAAGAAACCAACTGCACAGAGAAGAGCAATTGTTGTCATGAACTTGCAGAAAAGACACCAGTGGGCAGCGTGGATCACAAGCAGAACACAGCAAGTTCATGAGGTTGGAGAAGGCATCCACTCTGCTGAGATCAGAACTGCCACCAAGGCAACTTTGGGAAGTTGTGAAAGGATCGGGTGGGAGCTAGAGGGGTATAGCCACAAAAAGTCTTGTGTTTCAGAACTGATTAAAAGAAAAGAAATAATTTGTGCTTTTAATAAAAATCAACCCAAAAGAAAGACTGAACAAAAATATGGTAAAAGTCTCAATTTGTGCAAAAAAGTGCTGCAAAAAGAGAACATTGTCCATATTCACTTGGAATAAATCAGCTAAACTGCAGCAAAAGGTATTTAATCCAGACATTGGAAAAAGGAGAGTTAAGAACTAGACTAGACGGCCTGAGGAATGAGTGGAATCTGTGTTTAAGGCTTTAAGAACAGGTTATGCAAACATCCTTTGAGGTTGTTTTTATAATAGTTTAGTGAACCTTAAGGCAGGAGGATGGCTGAGAATCCAGGTAAGGTCACTTTTGGCTCTCTTGGTTGCTTTTTATTTGGGGAGGGGATAAGTTAAGTGCAAAGCTTTAATATCCTCATGACTTCAACCAACAAGCACTGAGGTTTAGGTATGTCAAGAAATCCCTAAAAACCAGTGCAGGTGCTGTGTTTGTTATTCCTCTCATCTTCCTTCCAGAAATGAGGCACACTGAGCTTGCCTTCAGTAATACTGGAACCCACACAGTGTTTTGGGTGTATTTGTACAACAGTTTACCACAGCAAACCTGACAGCCCTGATTAAAATTTTGCTGCAGTGCTGAATTCAAGTTTATGTGAAAATAAATTTTTTTCCATACACCCACAAAATTGTTTCTGTAGTCTATAGTTAAGCTAGCATTTATCTATGAACCTCAAAGTCAATCATATATTTAATGCTAATAAAAATGTTGTCACAAAAGACAGCATAATCAAAAATATATTGTCTTATTTAAGATTGTTCTTTTAATAAAAACCTTGGCATCAACTGCAACAGCAGCATAACATAACTAAGACATGCATGCAATTACCAGTCCAAAGTGTGCTACAAGGCTTCTGTGCATGTCTACTTTTAAATACATAGATTTTACCCTTTGTCAACTGATAACTATTAATGAAAGTAGTACTTCAGGTAATTTTGAAATGCACTTCCAAGTACATTTTGGAAAAAAAAAAGAGAATAGTGTAACAAATCTTCTAGGATTCAGAACTTAATTTGCACAAAAGGTTGTTCAACAAAAATTTGTTGAATAAAACAAGCATTCATTTTTTCATTTTTATCTATATGTAATTTCTGAATGAAGAGACAGATTAAGAGGACTGTTGTGACTTCAATTTATAGGTACTTAAATTCTGCCTCATTTGAAGATTTAGTAGGAGTTTAACATCTGTTGTTGACAAAATAACTTCAAGCGTTTCCTACAGAAAATGAATGAAAGGGAACTAAGAGGTAACATCTTCCATTACCTGGTACAAGTACACCCTAATAAATCATAAGAAGAGATACTTTGGTAAAAAATTAAAACATTAGTATTGTACTTCTGGAATACTTCCAATAACAAACAGATCAATTGTTCATTTCCTAAAGCGCGACAAATCAGTGGCCAGAACACGCAGGAATCACATTTGTAGTTAGGTTGGAAAAGACCTCTGAGATCATCGAGTCCAACCTGGGCTGAAATCAATGTCAGCAGGACCAAGGCACCGAGTGCCACGTCCAGTCCTTCCCTAAACACCTTCAAGGACAGTGACTCCACCACCGGCCCGGGCAGCCCGTTCCAGTGTGCAATCACCTTTTCTGTGAAAATTTTTTTTCTAATGTCAAACCTAAACCTCCACTGGTGCAGCTTGAGGCCGCGTCCTCCCGTCCTGTCACTGTTCCCTGGGAGAAGGGAGCCACCCCCACCCGGCTGCACCCTCCTGGCAGGGAGTTGTAGAGTGGTAAGGTCACCCCTGAGCCTTCTCTGCTCCAGGCTGAGCCCCTCAGCCGCTCCTCACAGCGCAGGCGCTCCATGCCCTGCAGAGCCCCGGGGCTGTCCCCGCACACGGCGGGGCCGGGACGCGGCAGCCCCCGCTCCCCTCACGGGCAGGGCGGGCCCCGGGCGGGGCGGGCGCTCCGGGCCAGGTGCGCCTCTCCGCGCCTGCGCAGAGCCGCGCGCCGGCCGCGCTCCATCCGGGCACCGCGCTCATTGTGCGCGCGGCCGCCGCGCTCGCCCGCCCGCTCTAAAATGGCCGCCGCCGCCTCCGCTCCCGCCGCCGCCGCTGCGGGGGCTCCCGCGGCTCCCGCGGCGCCGCCCACCGAGAGCAAGAGGATCAGCGACCTGCGTGTCATCGACCTCAAGTCGGAGCTGAAGCGGCGCAACCTGGACATCACCGGCGTGAAGACGGTGCTGATCGCCCGGCTCAAGCAGGTGAGCGGCGGGCGCAGGCCCTGCCCGGTCCGCCCCGGCGGCCGCTGCTGCCGCCCGGCTCCGGGGGCGGGGCGCCGGCAGCCCTGCCGCTGGCCTTGCCGCTGGCCCGGTGCGGGGGGCGGGACCCGTCCCCGCCGCGCCGCCGGTGCCCGGCCCGGGGTCCGCCCCAGCGAGCCCCTGGCGCTGTGCGGCCCCTCCGGGCCGGGCTGGGCGCGGTGTCCCGGCTGGCGGAGCTCCCCGGGCCGGCTGTTGGAGCTCGCCCCGCGGCCTGGCGGGCGAGCCCCGCGGCAGGCTGTGGCTGAAGGGTGTCCGTGCTTCCCGCTGCCCTGTTTTTGAGCTGCCCTTAGTGCCATTATGGATGGCGGTGTGGCCTTCTGGTGTTACGTTTCCAAAGAGAAGCGTGCGGGTCCTTGATAAGCTGTACTTCCAAAGTGTCATTTTAACAGCTGAAACTCTCTGCGTTTATCCTTACTGTTCCCTTGCTCTTCTCCAGCTTTAACACAGAGTGTTTCGCTAAATATTTTTGAGATGCCGAAAGAACTGTTTGGCTTACAGACTTCTGCTGAAGTCAAACTGTCCAGCTTTCCATGGAAAGCCATTAAAAATTGTAATTTTTTTTCTCATTTAGGCTATTGAAGAGGAAGGAGGTGATCCAGATAATATTGAAATAAGTGTTTCAGCTGACACACCCACCAAGAAGCCAACTAAAGGCAAAGGTTAGGATCTGTTGATATACTTAATATTCTTGCATAGGTTTTTTTTTTTTTTGCATGTATCATCTTAAAGAAGGACTGTGGTCTATATTTTGGGTGCAGTTGTGACTTTACTGTTTATAGCTTTTGTTATATAAGAAGTCCTTTACCTTGCATGTCTGTTGTCAGTCACCGTATGTAGACAATGTATGGGGATGCTGGAGAAACATATATTGAGAGAAATATAGATAGAAGGAACATGACTGGGATTAGAGGTGTGTGTTTTGAGGTAGTGGCTGCAGTGCCCCCAGCTCCTGGAGAGCTGTGCCGTGTGTGCCGAGTGTGTGGTGTGCTGTTGGTGTGTGCTGTGCTCACAGATCCTGAACGTGGGCTGTTCCAGGTGTGGGTCCTGGCCACAAGGATCTGTGTGACAGCAGAGGGTCTTGAGCCATGAGCAGGTGCTGGACTTGGCTGGGGATGAGGGCACAGCAAGATGTGGTAGGGGGTCCCTCCCTGAAGAGGGCTGTGTAGTGTGGGTGTGTTAGCATGCTCTCTACCGAAGACAGGATTTATAAACGTGAATTTTTTGAATAGGTGTTGAAGCATCACAGTGGAATGTATAATTAAGAGATTTTAGTGTTTCTCTTTGAGAAATGAATATTTACATAAATATTTTGTGCTGATCTGTTTGGCAGTGATTTTTTTCAGATTTTTCAGCTCTTTTCTTTTGCCTGAGAATTTAAATACTGTTTTGTAAGTTTGGAGTCTGGGGGATCTTAGTTTGTGTTTTCTGTTGTTCTGGGAGCATCTGTGATCTATTAGTACTGGGAAAGAACCTGTCTGCTTTATGCACAGCATTTTTCATTGAACAGACACACTGAGAATGTTCACACATGTGCTACAGGGGCCTGAACAGTCTTGTGGCACTGTCTCTTGTCATGGGCTGAGTTTTGTGGTGAAAGTGATTATTCAGTCAGTCTGGTGCTGTGAATGGTGAAATTAGTAAGAAAATCTGTCTCCTTAGAAAGTTTGAATAACTTTGCACTTTTCACACATGAGAGAAGTGAAAGGAAATAAACTTTCAAATGTGGTTTCATATTTTTTTTCTATGGCTTTACTTTATTCCCTGCTTTAGAAAGGTAGCTGCTGATTAAGATAACTACATGGAAGCTGAATAAGGAAACTCTTCCACAGTTTTTCATACAGAGATCTCAATGGCTCCATGTTCTGCTGTGACAAACACTTCTCTTATCTGCTGCTTTTTATCCTACTAGTCTCCAAACTAATATCACAATATGCATCATGTTCTTGATCTGGTTTCTTGGGCAGTTGGACTGTTTTGTTTCTGCAGAGGTAGTTTGCCAACCAGTGCTGCTGCTGCCTGGGGCAGGGCTTCAGTCGCTCTTCCTGCCACCTCTCCTGTGCCCCAGATCCTAATGCATGCATATGATATGTGTGATCTTGGTAAACCTCAAAGGAAAACACAGTTTGTGAAGTTCTTATCAGTTCACTTTGCAAGCTCAGGAGTTTATCCTCATTACTTTTTAGATTACAAAAGTCTTATGAACAAATTTTGTGCCAAAAGTATGGAAAGTTCATGGAACATGAAAAATTTCATTGTTTTGTTTAGGGGAAGTATTTTTAATTGTATTGGATTATTTCTAACTGTGTGAAATAATACATTGTTTGATTTTTAACTACTCACTGTGGGGGGTTTTTCCTCCTTACTGACTTTGACAGATTGATCCAGGCCTTTTTGCTAGTGCTTGTTTTCCCCCCATCCTGCAGCTTCAGACCAATACTGATGGGTCTTTAATTATTTTACTACTGGACAGCAGTAAAATTAATGACATTACTAGTTCTGTAGTATTTTTCCTTGTGCTATTATTGCTGTACAAGGGAGAGTAGGAGTATTAGGTACTCATTTACAAGGAAAATACATCTTCAGGAAGGGCCAGGGAGTGGAAGTGATGATTAAACCTACTCAGAGCAGCCAGAAGGGGAGGCCAGTGGGAGGGAAGGTTTTACTGAAGCTCTTAAGGTCTGTGGAAAAAGTGTGATTCTGATTCCCTAGCACTGTCTGTTAAAACAGCCTGGTCTGGAATATTGATAGAGGAGGCCAAATTAGAGTGGGAATGGGGTGTGTGGGGGGGAGGGAATGATACATTTGTCTTTCCTTGCTTTTTTTTTTTTGTGTGCATGTTTACTAAAAGGGAGAAAGAACAATACTCAAAAGATTAAGAATGGGCCTTTATTTCATACAATTTGAAAAATGCTTGCAGAAGGATTCTGTAATCCAGCAAGAATCCTTGATCAGTCCTCATGTGAAGTTAGTAGAACTTTAACACTTTTTCCAGATGCTACTTTAATTAAATAATTAGGGTAAAGAACTACAGAACAGCAAATCAGATTATACAGGTGTATAAGTAAGATCAGTTGGTTTTGCCAATTGAAGTTTGAAAGGAACAAATGCCAAGTGCTCCTTTTTTTAGTGCCTCAGCTGTGCTTCTCCACCCTAGCATTTAGTAGCTATGGAGGAATTTCTCTTTTTATAAAAAGATGACAGTTTTTGGGAAAAACTTACCTTTTCAAGCCTGACCATTCTGCTGCCTAGTCTGGTATCTAGAGGAAGTTACCATACTACTAGCATGAAATAATTTTCAAATGTTTCTGATATGAATGCTCCTTTGAAGGATCTGCAGTCAAAAATGCTGTTGGATATTGAAATATTACAGTTGGTAATTGAAAATTACTTTCCTGATGAGTTCTGGAATTATTGTGGGTGAAGAACAGATTTTAGGCTGATAATATTTAACTTTGGAGAATTAATATGAGCAAAGATGTTTATTTGCTGCTCGACAAGCTTCTGAGGCCGGTTATATACCTGTTAGTTTGTGTCTTAAGTACCTCTCCAGTTTGCAACTGAATTTCCAGTTTGACAATACTGTTTCTTGGATCAAAAGCTGACAGCTGACAGTGGCTGGCTTGTACTATTGCACAAATAACTTTGACTTCTTTATTAAAACTGTTTAGTTACTTAAATATAAGAACAAAACAAAGTAAACTAAGTTGTACGCTTGGTTTTTGCAGACCTTTCTTTCTAAAAACAATGAATGACTCAGAATTGTGTTTTTTAGACACAGTAGAAGACTTAAATATTCCTGTACCTCATGGTACCATTTCAGAATTAGAAAAGGATTGTTTACTTTTGTTAATATTGTGGCAAATGATACTTTTCTAGTTGCACTAGACCTCTTAATGCTATAGAGGGTTTATTCCACTGTAAGGATTTCTCTCCTCTTTCCCTCTTATCCTATGTTTTTGGTGAATCTTTAGCATTAGTGTGACAGAACCCTGTTGGGAGTTTCAGCTGGAATACCAGAAGAAATACAAACACTAATTCTTCCAAAATTTTCTGATAAGTATGTGTCACTCTGCTTCTGCCTGAGATGCAAATACCTAATCTAAGAGTTGTCCAGAATACACTCTTCTGTAATTCTGTAAACACTCAGCCTGAATTTCTCACATGGAGGACCATGAATAGGTAGAATAATCTTGTGCTACTGTAAATGAAATGAAAGATAATCTGCATAATGTAAAACCAACAAAGATGTTCTAATTCTTCTACTTACTTATAAGGAGAATATTTGTTTTCTGTGGAAGAGTCTGTTGCAATTTTATGGTGTGTAGCAATTGCTGTTGCCAGAAAAGGGATTGAGCATGGCTTGTAAAGGAGTGCCATCACTCCAAGGTAAATGAGTGTTTGTGCTGTTAAGCCCCCAGATCTGTGGTGAATGCTGCATACACACTGACATTTTCAACAGCCACTGCTTGGATAAACCTGTACAGAAACTTGGGTGTTGACAACTTGTGTGACTGGAGACCAGCTGTGCCTCTTGTCTGCAGAAGGCTCAGCTGCTCTGGCTCTGTTTATTAACTTACCCTTCAATCAGGTCAGCACTGGTTTCCAATAACTTCAGAGCAACAGCCATTTTCTGCAAGGTGTGTGTTGCAATCTGATTTTAGTTATGAGAATTTAAGAGCCAAGTGTGCCTTTAAGCAGCCCACTGTAAAGAAGTGTCAGTCAGACAACTGTTGAATTTTTTGTGGATGCTGGCTTTTTGGCAAGTTGCTGTACCAACATCTGAGAACTGTCTGTATCAGAACCTTGAAATGCCACTTTTGAGTGGCATAGTGTAACTCTAACTGAAGCAAAGTAACCTGAAGCACAGAACTTGAGAGGGAGAGCGAGCTTAGACCACTTTCTGGCTTGAAGCTGAAAAGTGAAGGTCATTGTTCAGGTCTGGTTATGCCTTGGAATACCTCTGGTACTCAGAGTAAGTGGGACTTGCTACAAAGACAACAGACATAGTATAGAAGGGCTAATGAAATCATTACTTCATCTAGCAGCAAATAAAAGATACAACAGCTTCATTACTGACTGCTGTAACTTGTTCTTGATGAGGACCAGTCAGTAAAACACAGTTCTCTAGCTGCTATTGCATAAAGCTGGGGCTAACTTGAGGTAGCTTTGCCATTGGTTTGGTTTTCTGTTCTGTTCCCTATAAAGTCTCAGTTCTAGTCCACCAGCCATACCTCCTCAGGCAAAATGATTGAAATGATTTAAATAGCTTTCATGATAGTCTATGCTAGAGAGTTGCTAAATGTGTTGGGCATCTGCCCTGTGTGCTTGCCTGTCTCTGTGTATGCTTAGCTGGACATGGGATGCAGGAAAAACTTGGTCTTTCAGGTTTAACAAACAAACTGAAATGTGAGAGGGTAAACAGAAAGCAGTGGAATGTGTGTAGAAATCCTTGCAGTTTCTCATTGCTTTTTATTTATGTTGAAGATGTCTGGGATCTGTAGATTTTATCACAGAATGCTAAAAAGCTAGCACAAAATTTGAGTTAGTCTTTGTTTCAGGCATTAGCTGTGATGCACATCAGAAACTGTCCAGTGTAAGACCTCTTCCTGAGAAGAGCTGGCTTCCCTCAGCATACCTGTGCAGGGGGGAAATCTCACGAATCTATTGTATTACAAGTATAAAACTGGACTTTCTGTGGGTTTGGGGGTTTTTTGTTTGTTTGAAGTGAAGTAAAATCAGTGACATTGACTTGAGATTTGAAAGTTTAAATCTCACGTTTTGCAGTCACAGAAATAGGTTCTGCCATGTGCCTTTTCCTGGAGATCAGTGTGTGCCTGTACTGAAAACAGCAATGTGCTTCTTCTAGGAGTATGGTCAGAGTGCTGCCCTTCAGGGAAATGAGTAAAAGCAACTGGAATCCAAACAAACCCAAAACAATAGTGTTGCTTCTTGCCCTGTAGTTCAGGACTTTCCAGCTTTGAAGTGCATTTAAGAACTGCATATGAAAGACCACAGAAATTAATGGCTGTAAAAATTGAGTATTTCAGCTAGCAGAGATGTCCATACTGTGTTGAACTTTGCCTTATGGTTTTCTTTCATATTCCTTTGAAATAACTATAAAGTTGGATTAGCCATTCATTAGAGGTTGAAGGGAGCAGGGAAGATTCTATGCCAAAAAATGAAGCATTAAGTGCTAATTATGACTGCCATCTCATTTACATTTGAATTGACCCTGAGTTTCAGTAGAAGATACAGTAAAGATACTTCCTAACAGAGCTGCTTTTGTACCTCGTGCTACTGAAAACTGTTGCATTGGGTAATCTTTGATAGACTGAATCAAAGAGACAGAATGTTCTTCAGAGGCTGCGTTTGTGTGGAGATGTTAATGTCTAGTGTTCTTAGGTCTTGTTTTTAGAAGAGTAAGGAAATGCAGTGGGTTCCAAAGGGAACTGTGGCTAGTCATCATCCCCACAGAGACATCTCTAATAGAGAAAAGTGTGCCTGTGCTGGAAGAGCAGAATTCCTCAATGGAACAGGCCCTTAATACAGTAAAGCATATGTAGAGAGCAGAAGTGCTGCACCTACTCAGTTCTTCTGCCTCACTTCATCCTCTACTGAAAAAGGTGGCTTGGAGAGGCTTGTGATTGCCATGCTTGTGGATATTCAAAGATGCAGCTAAATGAAGCCCTGAGACATTCTATTGTCCTTGGAACTTGACTGTGATTTTCAGCAGGCAGTTGGGTGGGCTGGATGGCCTTTAGAAGTTCATTCTAACCTAATTTCTCTGTGATGTTAGTTACCCTCTAAAGCAAGACCTTTCCAAAGTCACAATGTCTAGTTAACCTCAGTAATTCTGGAAGTGTTTAGTTTCTAGTTCAATGTTCTCCTGAATTCCATTGTCACTCAAAATAGAAGGATAGGTATTAAGATCACTGACTTGGATGTAACCACTTGTTTATTGAACAGCACTGATTGTTCATTCTCACTCAGCTGACATTTTATCTCCTTATCTTAAAAATTACTCAGTTTTTGGAGGGCTATATTATAGTGAACAATCCAGCTAAACTAGAACAAGTAGAGAATAATAAAGTAAGGCCAAAGACATAATCAGTATTAAAAGTGTGCTCTACATAGCAGATCTAGCCTCAGCATATCCCATCATTTCAGGTAAAAAGCAGGAAGCTGATGAATTGACTGGTGATGCTTCAGTGGAAGAGGACTCCTTTGTCAAGGTAATAAAAGTATGTAAAAACTTTTCCCATTTTGTATTTAAGGTCAGTGTTTGACTTCAGTTAATGAAAAAGCTTCCATTTTCTTTGTGGTAATTTATGTGGAAATTTGGAGCATTTTTAGTGTATTCACAGTGTGATGCCTAAGGGTATGAAGCTGGGGGGTTTTTAAAACATGGTATGAATTTTATTGTGCATGTGAGACACGGCTCCAGCAGTGAAACACTGATTCTAGCAGTGACTTTTTTAGAATAAAGCTAATACTTTTAGTCATATTAAGTATTTGTGTTCACACCAAAAGGAAAGTGAATTGGAGACTCAAGATGCAAGTGATCAAGATGGAAATGATGAATTGAAAGACTTTAAAGAATCTGTTGAAGATGAGAACTTGAATTCTAAAGAACTACCATCTTCAGAAAAGAAAAGATACCATGACTTGGAGCCAGTGGAGACAACAGAAGATGTGGAGAAGGATTCTGAAAGTCAGGTACTGGCTATATTTTACCTGAATTTTTATCAGCAAAATGTACCTTTTTTTCTTAGTGTTTGTTACTGGGAAGTCAGAACTAGTTTTTCAGTTTGTCTTGCTTAACTCTAAAATATAGGTTTTTTCTTTTTACTCTACTTTACTCTTTTCTTTCTATTTGCCTTGATTTGTATTTGAATAGTCCTGAAACAATTGTGGCACTGATTGATAAAATTCTGCCAGAGTCCATCCAGAGTTAGTTCCTAAGGGATTCTTTTCCCTTGTACTGGCAGTGACTTGTGCCTTTCAGTTCAGTGCTCAGATTGTTTACATCAGGAGAACTGCTCATGGATGTTCACATTGTTGAGTGTGTATCCACTTAATATTTACTTAAATATCTAATGGAATCTTGACCCCCTGAATGTTTGAGTGTCTTGTAAATAGTTTGCTTATCTTGTCCCTTTTCTATTTCTATAGGAAAATGAAGGTCCAGACATAGAAGATTACACTTTTCCAGCTGTCCATGTGAGTTCTAAATCCATTCTCTTAAGCTGATTTTCTTGTCTGTTTAGTTGGAAAAGATCACTTTAGACTGGTTGTTCTGTTCCAGCGTGCATGTTAGAGTCAGATGATGTAAGGCTGTAAAGGTAAACTGTATGGGAAGCTTTCATTCAAATATTTAGTAATGCAGATAATTGTGATACCAAGTAAGTTGACCAATTTAAAGACATAATTCATGTCTACAATTTAGGACTATTCAGTGCATAGATTACACAAAGAATATGTTTCACACTCCCTTAAAAACACATCAGAGGGCTATGCCAGATGCTGTTGTAGTATGTACGGCCTGTACAGGAGTTTACAACTTCTGTTTAATGTAGAAGTTTGCCCTGTGGGGAGTGTGGAATGGGGCATGGTTGTTTAGGGATGCTTTTTGGTTTTCATACTAATATCTGATATCTTTAAGTTCAGAAATTCATTCTGAGTTGCATGGAACTGATGTCTGGAAAGTGACATCTCATACAGCATCTCTTGCTCTGTAAAGCTGATGGGAAATAAGTAAATACCCATCAAAATAAGAGTTTCATTTTTATGTAGTTACTGGAGGGAGGCTCCCTAGTTTCTGACTTCTCTCTTGAGCTTTTAAAGCTAATGATGGACTGCTTGCATTTCTCTGAAAGCAGTAATCAGCAGCTTGGCATCCATTCTGAAGGCTTTGGTAAGACACGGAATAGTTTAGAAATGTCCCATTGAGTTGAGGGGGTAAGACAATACCTGCATGTCCCAGTCAATTGCAAACTGCAAATGTTGCAGATAAATATCAAGTTATTTCATAAAGAAGTTTCATAACTTTTTTTAGTGATTTGACAAGGGAGCTGCACAAGTTTGGTTCCTGGATAATCTTTGGAAACAGTTTTCATTTCAGTATTTGCCTTCATACAATAGAAATTTTATGAAAAATACAAACTGTTCTGCCTAAAGTTTCAAAATAGAAGACATTTAGTGTTGACTTCCTTTTCTTGCAGGATGGGGAAGATGAAGAAAATGAGAAAGGTATGTCTAAAGTTTAATAGAGTTAAGAGGTTTTACTCTGGTAGAGCAGGCAACTTTCTCTTGTAACATTCAATCTCTACTAATACTAGGCTTATCTCCAGCACTAAGTATCAGTTGTCTCCTCATTGAGCTCAGCACCTGGAATCACTGCAGTCAGTTTATTTCACTCCTAAGAGTTACTTTACTCTTAAGAGTTGATCACAGTATTATCAGTTACTGTGGTGGATGTATAATCTATTTGCAATACTATGATTCTTAATAAAACCCATAGTATTCAAGGACTGATTTTAATACACGGTAAGTGTTGATGCCAAAGCCTCCAACTTGCACTGCAGTAACTGATGTTGAGTGAAATGCTGCACTCTCACACTGAAGTTGAGCACCCCACAAATGTATGGACCATCATATGCTTGGCTTACTGTCACTTAGAAATACCACTTGTACATAGGATGGTAAAACAGGTGTTTGCAAACCTGTGGAGTGGCTACCATTTTTTATGCTGTGCTCATTAGTGAAACTATAGAAGGAATGTAATGCATTTGGGCAAACAGACTTCCTGGACAGAAGTCATAAGGATTCTACATTTTGTGGACTCGAAAGGACATGGGACACCATCACTTTCCACAAGATGGAATGAACACATTACTGAAGCTACAGGATAAAACTACAGACTCCGTGTTTACGAGGGACCCCATGGCCGAAGCGTCTCACCTGTGCAAATCCAAGAAGATGGAGATGTCTCTGTGGGACTGAGATGGAAAATCTTTCCGGTGGATGAAGATTGAGACCATTTGTCTACGAACTCTGGATTAAGGCTCACCCATCCATGTTCTGCAGCAGCCTTGTACAACTCACTTGACTGCCAAGCAACTGCTTGGGAAGGAAAAGAACAGCGAACACCGAGGTGGAAGATTGGCTGGAATTCTCCAAGACTGTGATTCTTTTGGATTTGGGAAGGTTAGAAGTTCTGGAACCAGGAAGATTCAAAGACAGATTAAATCAAACTGTGAACATCCAAAGCAACTATGTTCTTCTGGAATGCTCAATCCTAAACTGGAAAATGGATACTTCTTATGAAGAACGGGTATCTCCAGGATGGAACCGTATTCTCCCTCCTAATGTTTTGGTATTTGTCTCTAGAAAATGTGTTTTGCCATGAAGAATAAGTGATCCTGGGTAAAGGATTTATATTTGTGTTAATACACCTTGTGTTTTTTTCTAACCTTCCATCAGTGCTAATAACTGGCTTTGTATTTTCTAGGTCCTATTCTAGCTTATGCATATGAAATTGTTTAAACTTCTTGTTTTGCCATATTTATTCCTGTTAAATCCTCTTAGATAAAGCAGGTTCTGGTGATGGTACACAAGAAGTATCTAAACCTCTTCCTTCAGAAGAAAGCCTAGCTGAGGCTGATCACACGGCTCATGAAGAGATGGAAGCTAACACCTCTGTGAAAGAAGCTGAGGATGATAACATATCGGTTACAATCCAGGCCGAAGATGCCATCACTCTGGATTTTGATGGTGATGACCTCCTAGAAACAGGTAAAAATGTGAAAATTACAGATTCTGAAGCAAGTAAGCCAAAGGATGTGCAGGATACCATTTCACAGAGCCTGGAGAAGGAAAGCAAGGACTATGAGGTGACTGAGAACCATAAAGATGGTAAGAAGGAAGACTGCGTGAAGGGTGATCCCGTCAAGAAGGAAGCCAGAGAAAGTTCAAAGAAAGCAGAATCTGGAGACAAAGAAAAGGATACTTTGAAGAAAGGTCCCTCGTCTACTGGGGCCTCTGGTCAAGCAAAGAGGTTTGTTTTTCTATGTCAGTTCTTTACGATACTGAGTACCAGCATTCAATAAGATCACTCTACATTAAGGGGGTAGCAGCAAGAATCTTATAATTAGTATCCTATGCTCCTGCCTGTAGGTTTTTTGACCGCCATAAGTTACTTTTTAAAATTCAAGATCTTCGTATAGACACTATGTCCTACTGATTGCATTGTCGAATTGTCAGCATTTATTTATTTTTTTCAAATTGACGATTTTTTTAAATGTCCTTGTGATGATGGTAATGAACAGCTATCAGTTCTAAGAACACAAAATGAAGTCAAGTCCCCGTCCTGAAATCTGGAGAAGATTGCCATATATCCACTGAATAGAGTTGTCAGAAAATCTAGATCTTCAGGCATCTTGGGGAAAATCAGTGCAAGAATCCATAAGGGAATCATTTGTTCAAATATACAGTCTGGCCCTTTTTCATTTTTATTTTTTGAAATGTTAACTTGTCTGTTAGTGTTAGTAGTATAAAATGCAACACCAAATTCTGTAGTTTCAACTTTCTTCTGATTTTTTTAATTTGCTTCTCTAGCTCTACTAAGGAATCTAAAGAAAGCAAGACAACATCAAAGGATGATAAAGGTAACTATTATCAATTAGAGTAGTATTTCTTGAACTAAATGCTTTCCTGACTGAGAAATTGCTTGCCACGTAATAAAATGGTTTACATGATTGAACCCAGCCATCTCTATTAAATTATGCTAGAGGTACAGTAGTCATTTGTTATATGTATGTGTCCATATATTTTGTTTCTCCTTATGCCAGGTTTGTCATAAGATTAAAAATACTTATTCTAAAGACTTGATCAAAATATATTCTTCTATTGCAAAATACTTCCGGGAGGAAATTCATTTAACATTTCCCAAGTCTTTGTTTTGATGAGAAGCTGTAATTTTCAGATAAGTCTGCTATAACTTAGAGCAAAACAAGCAGAAAATAATTGCAAGTACTTAAATGTAATGACAATTTTTTTGTCTTGTTTGTAACTCTAACTCATTTTAAAATAAACTGAACTCTCAGACAAGTACTATAGCTGAGATGCCAGCTTGCAGAATTGCACTTGTGGCTGTTTAATGTATTAAATTTGAACCTTGGAGTTTCCACCTGTTTCCATAAAACCCTGTATTAAGATTACAAATTTGAAGAGTGGAGCTCAAGAGCACATTAATGTCACCAGTTATACTGATGCTTCACGGTTGAACAGATGCATTTGTGTAAGCTCATGTGTCTCCTTATTTACCTACTCCTTTTCTGCCAAAAACCTTTGTCAGAACCTCTGGCATAACACTAAGGAACGAATGAAACTTTACCTGATAAATGAATTTGAGAGGAAATTTTTGTGGCAGACATAATTGGGTCTTCTGTAGATGCTTACAATGAAACTGAAAGCAGATTTGCTGTGTCCTCATTTATGTAGCATATGTGATAACTGTGAGAGTAACTGTTGTAAGGCTTTCTTAATACACACAGCCAAAGCCAGGATAGTGGCTGTTTAATGGTATTTATTGGTGGTCTAAGTGTATCAGAGAACCACAGAGTATTATGGGTTGGAAGGGACCTTAAAGATCATCTTGTTCCAATGCCCTGCTGTGGGCAGGGACACCTTCCACTATCCCAGGTTGCTCCAAGCCTTGTCCAGCCTGGCCTTGGACACTTCCAGGGATGGGGCAGCCAGAGCTTCTCTGGGCAACCCGTGCCAGGGCGCACAGGGAAGAATTTCTTCCTTATATATCTAAACTAATATCAAGATAACCTTAGTATGACAAACTAATATCAAGATAACCTTAGTATGACCATAACTGAGAGATTGCCTTTTGCTCTTAGTTAATCTTGATGCATTGAAGAAACAAAACCATCTTTTTTTCTCAAGATGGTTCAATTACCTTTTAAAACTCTGCATATCACCAGATTTTCCAGCTGTCAAGATGGAAACTAGTTCTGGTCTTGCCTGTAGGACTGGCTACATTTTAACATATCCCAAAGCAGTTCATTTATTTAGCAACAAACAACAAGCTGAACTACATAACTGAGGACTGAAAGATACTGGGAATGAGATTACATGAATCTCTTTTGAGTTCTTATTGCTATGTTGTTGCAAAAATACCTAATATATGGGGTGAGGGGAGTATTTAAGGCACAAAGTGTTTTTCCAGCTTTTATTTAGTATTTTCTTTAGAACGTGGGAAATAATTTTGGTGGGTTGTATCTAGTTCTACATCCAGTAGTATTTTAAAAAAACTGCTCTGGATGAAGCCAATACTCTGAAGTTGTGGAAATTGATCACATGATTCTGGTGGCTGGGATTATCCAAGTCCCCTGTATTTGCCTTTCTGTTGTCTCTGTAACTTGAGCACTTTACAGACATCATGATGGAGAACAAATACTGTGTGCAAAAAACCCCTTTTTATGGATGGTAGCTAATGATAAGAGCCAGATGTTGAAGCTAAATGCACATACCAAGATGAGGAGTAAAGCATACCTTTAACAAAGATTTGTATTATTTTTCTGTCTCTATCCTTTGAGTACAAGCTAACCAAACTTTTGGTCTCAATACCTGGTTAAATGAATGAAATCTTATGGCATGTATTTTTTTTTCTATAGAAATCTTTTCAAGAAAGGTAACCAGATAAACAATTACTTAGAGGTAACAGGCTAAGTTTCTCTTTTCAGCAACACTTTAGTAAAATATTCACGGTACCTTTGTCTCCTTAATTTTTTGGCTGTTTGTAAAACTTGTTGCAGGAAGCGCGAGCAGTGTTAGTGGTAGCAGTGGAAGTTCAACTAGAAACCTCTGGGTTAGCGGACTGTCTTCCAACACAAAAGCTGCTGACTTGAAAAATCTCTTTGGCAAATATGGAAAGGTATTTTATGGGGTGTGATACCATGTGTGCAGTGTGTGTCTATTCCCCCCCCTCTATTCAGTTACAGAAATTAATACTTGATTTAAGTAAAGGTTTGAGAGGAAATGTCTGACCAGTGCAATCTAAAACCCCATATTGCAGCAGTAAGAGTGTATGCTTACAGGAAGAGCCATCTATTCATTTTATTAGAAGTTTTTCTTCCTGTGGAGGTAAGATAAGTACAAAAGAAATTTCACAAATACTTGAATATTCTGGTCAGAACTGGCTTTTAAAATAATGATGGCTGTGTTCCTTTGTAGCAACTGTATTTAACCATGAGTGCAAGATAGTGCACTAACTGATAAAATTGTAATTACAAATAGTGTTTCTAGAATAGAACATCCTGCTTTGGGAGATTGTTTTTAAAATGTGTTCTGAAGGCTTATGAATGGGAAGAATTGATAAAAAGATGTCACATTTAATGTATGATGCTTTAGGGACTCTTCCAATGACTTGATGATTTTTTTTTTTACAGTCTGCCTAAATTAAGTCTCTTTTCCTAATTTTGGTTAATTGAAACATAAAAATTCCATAGAACAATGTGGAAATCTTGAAAGCTAAGCAGTCTTCTAAACCCAGAGTTCTCATTTTCCCAAAGGAGTTGCTGATAACTCTGTGAATTTGTAGTTTCAGTGTAAGCCTGTGCAGGTATGGCACTATTGTATCTTGGGAACTAGATAGAACCTGAGCACTGTGACTATCAAATATGTGTATTTATTTTGGCATATCTGATGTTTCTAATGAATTTGTTAGGTGATTTTATTTAATGCATTCACAAGTGTGGACACCTGAGAGTATATTTTGTTGAAACTTCCAGTTACTTGGCTGTTTTCACTGTAAAGCTGGTTGGTACTTACATTTATGTAGCGTCCCTGTTTTAAAATTGATTGGGAAATACTTCATGACAGTACCATGACAGTCTAGACAACTAAAAAGATAAAACTGATGACAGCTAGAAAGATAAAATTGTCGCCTTTAAAGCATGACTATGGCAAAAAGACTGGCTCCAGGGGCCATAGAAATTCTAGCAAGGAGGAGCACAAAGGTTAATACCTTCTCAAGAAGCAGATGTCAGAGCTGACTGCTAAAATGGCTTAACTGACACACTTGCTAGATGACTTTGAAGAGTTGGCTCCCTTATTAAGTCACTACATAATACTGCTGATACCTTCCTGCCATTAATTGGCAGCTGCTGACTTTTTTTGTGGGGGTTCATCTGTCAGAGATGAACCGTCAAATTCAGGTCAGTGGTGTTTCTGTGAATGAATTTTGCCAATAACTGAAGAGTAGCATTTAGATAATGGCCATGAGGAGGTGACTGGTCAAGAGAGGATGCAAGCTATAATATTCCTTGATGTGCAAGTTGGGATAAAGTTCTCAAAGCTCTTGAGAATTTGGGAGTGTCAGTCAGTCTTTCTAGCGGGGTGGGAGTTATGTTGCTGGTGAATTGGGTTGGGGTGAATTTGTTTTGTTTTCTTATATACGAGTGTAAAAACCTTACTGCAATATACCATACCTTCCTTAGAAATTCTCTCTCAGAACCTGAATTCTTCCTGTTTGCATAGGTACTTGGTGCAAAGGTGGTCACAAATGCACGAAGCCCGGGGGCAAAATGCTACGGCATAGTAACAATGTCCTCTAGCACAGAAGTGGCCCGGTGTATCGCACACCTGCACCGCACAGAGCTGCACGGACAGCAGATCTCTGTGGAGAAAGTAGGTTTCATTCCATGAAGACTTTACCCAAAATAGAGCATCTTTTACAAGAATCTGCACTAACCTATTTGCTTTTGAAAACAAAAAAAAATTAGGTGAAAGGTGATCCCTCCAAAAAAGAATTGAAGAAGGAAAGTGATGAGAAATCTAGTTCGGGTAGGAGCGTAGGAGATAAGAAGACTGCATCAAGTGACAAAGCCAGCAAGTAAGGAATTTCACATCTTCTGAAATTGTGAAAATCCTCTAAGCTGAATTTCCCTCATTAGATTTTTGTGCTCTTTTTCCTAATAAGAACTCCATCAACCAAAAAAGAAGAAAAGAAATCAGAGAAATCTGAAAAAAAAGAAAGTAAAGAAACCAAGAAAACAGAAGGTAAAGATGAGAAGAATGATAATGGAACAAGTGGCCCTAATCAAGAATCCACTAAAAAAACTGAAGAAAAGAAAAGAATAAGTATGCCATATAGCCATATTTCCTCCTGTTGAATCTGTGTGTCTGACTTGTCTTGGGGGCATGTTCTTGCTCTTACTGGAAACCAGACAATTAAACAACTGTTCTTTTTTAGACTACAGTAACACATTTATTACTTCCATACTTTATACTAATATTTAATTACAGGCATGTACTGGTATGTTTCTCCTACCAGTACCAGTTCACTTCAGAGATTTAGAAATTTCACTAAGGAGAATTTTTAATAGGCAAATAGAGATAGCTGTGTGTGTGTTTTTAAACCTTCTTTTTTTTTTTTTTTTTTTTTTTGTTTCCCCCCTTCACTAGGTGGTAAAAGCCCAGGTCAAGTTGTAGTTTTAGACCAAACAAAAGGAGACCAAGGCCACACTAGGACAGTTAGAAGGGGAAGGTTTGATAAAGTAAGTATCTATAGATTTGATGCAATCCTTACCTGATTTGATCCTACCTTGCAGTTGATATTTGCACTGAAGAGTCAATAAACTATCACTAACTGTTAAGCTTAGATAGAAGCTTTGTATGCTTTGGGATTGCTAAGTCATTAATTATACTTGAACGTAGCATCCAGAAATCTCCCTAAATGAATGAGACTTCTGAAATAACCATTGTAATCTCTATCTATAGCCACAGATATTGAGGAACAAAGAGCGTATTATTCAAGAGAAAGTGAAATTCAGGGAATACAGGGGTAGAAAGGATATCTTGCCTTTTGAAAAGATGAAGGAACAGAGATTGCGAGAACACATGGTTCGGTTGGAAAGGATACGACGAGCTGTTGAACTGCGAAGGTAGTAATTCAACTTCTTGCTAAAGGCTATTGTATACATTAATTGATCAGATACTATATTTAGAAATCTAATCAGAATGCATTCTGTCAAGCCTTCTAACCAGATGTTAAAGTCTGGGACTCTATCTAACATAGATACCTAAGATACCTAACAGTATCTTTATGGGAATTAACAAACTTCAAAATTTTTTTGTAATCTTTTAATAGCTATATATGTACACACACAGCCTAAAGTTTGTTACAGTGGGGGGTCTATCTATCTCATAAGTGTTACTGCATGCCAGTTTTCTTTTTGGAAAGGTGAGAAGTAGACTAAGAGACAGGGCTAAAAGTAGTGTTTGGTATTTGCTTGTTTGTTTTCACACTGAGATTGTTGTATGTCTAAATGACAAATCAAGCCTAATACAATCTTGATCCTTTAAATAGACCAAATGGCTACACTGTTCTGTTCTGCTGTTTTCAGTTAAATGAGCTGTGTTGTTAGCTAGGTTTCCCAAAACAACGGGAAACAATTCCTAAGCAAAGGAATTCCCAGCAAGCATAAAGCTTAAAGGAGAAAATGCCTTTTGTGCTTCTTCTAGGCTGTATTATGGGAGGTAAAAAGGAGAAAGCAAAATGAAGCTGTTCATGAGTCTACTAACCAGTGCAACTCAGAGTGGTTATGATTGGCTGTCTTAATTTTTTGAACAGAAAACCCTAAGTAAATGTTTTGTTAGCTTGGAGAAGATAAGAGCTAAAATAGCATTTATTTTTTAGGTCCAATCATATTCTTGGCTACTGAGTACTGTTGTTGCTGTGTGCCACGTGACAAATGAGAATTCTAAATTAAGAATAAAATACATCAAGAAATGGTTCTTGAAATAACTTTACCTATCAGTTGTGTGCTAATGGTTCTGTAGATAAGCTAAAACCACTTTGGCTACTTGGGGCTGAAAGGAGTAGACTTGTGGTGCAAGGACTTCTGTGAAGAGCTTACTCTGAATTAATTTTCGAATGTCTATGTCTAAGGTGATGTTAGTTTTGGATGACAGAATTTTTCAGATGAATTTCTGCTCCCTCTTTTTCTTCAGGCGAAGAGAAATTGCGGAGCGAGAGCGGCGCGAGCGAGAGCGGATCCGGATAATGCACGAGCGAGAAGAGTGCCTGCAGAGGGAAAGGGAGAGACTGGAAATTGAGAGGCAGAAGCTGGAGAGGGAGAGGATGGAACGGGAGCGCTTGGAGAGAGAGCGTGTTCGGATTGAACAGGTGGGCAGAGCTGTGCTCTGGACTGTGCAGGAGCTCTTTGGAGCATGGCCCAGTTTGCCCTTGCAGGGAATTTTGCTCTTTACTCTTCTACCCAGTCCTTTTTCTTCCCTAAGACCCAGCCAAACATTCCATAATTCATATTGTACAACAACGGGAATCTTCATCTTGTTTGCTTGGGAGTAATTTGATGTAAAATGCTTGCTACTGTAGCAGCTATACAAGTCAGTCTCCAAACATGAAGTACAATAGATCACTTTGTCTATACAATTCCTCCATAATTTGACTAGATTTTTCCTATAGAATACCACTGCAAACTTCAAGAAGTGTTTCTGGGCAATAAATACAGTAGTAATACAAGAAATTACCTGGAGACATTTTTGTGTAACAGCCAATAGCATCTTCAGACCTGTTGTCTACTTTTTAGAGAAATTTTCCCCGTGCTCTTCAATCTTAGATGCTATCCAAGGATGAATTTTATCAGATAACTTTTAGCAGAAAACTGACAAGGGATATGTTTGGATCCTTGCTAACTGTTCTCTGGGTATCTCTAGTTAAGACCTGCTCTGTTTTTGTTCCTCTGGTGGCAGGAACGTCGGAAAGAAGCGGAGCGAATCGCGCGGGAGAGGGAGGAGCTGCGGCGGCAGCAGCAGCAGCTCCGCTATGAGCAGGAGAAGAGGAATTCTTTGAAACGGCCACGGGATGTAGATCACAGGTAATTCTCAAACTGGGCATTTGCAGTGCATCATAAAAAGAGCCTTGTATCAGATTTGAAAATGCATTTGGACCTGAAGCAGCTCTTCTTCACAGAAGAACTGGATTTCTGGTATTGGTTTGGTTTGACATTAGTTTAAGACAAACAAGAAACACTCCTGGTCTTTAGCAGGGAGCTTTGAAATTAGAGAAGCATCCCATGAATTAATTCTTATTGTGTGGGAAAAAGCCACAATCTAGAGCATTTGCTGAGAAAAGCTGTTTTGCCTTAGTGGTTGAAGCTTCTACTTTAAGAATTCGTATTTCTGCTAAATGGATGGTTAGTTTTGGGTGTTTTCTTAAATTATTTTGTCTACTACTCTTCAAAGGTTCTATCTTTGTCAGTGGCTTTCCAAAGGTCAAATGAGCATCTCCTAAAATAGACAACTGACTCTCAACAATTTTCTGCATATTAGGCCTTGATTTGGCTACACGTGACTGATGAGGGTTCCTTTGTTTTGGCTAAAGGAGAGATGATCCTTACTGGAATGAGAGTAAGAAGATGGCTCTTGATACAGATGCACGTTTTGGCCATGGCTCAGATTACAGCCGCCAGCAGAACAGGTTCAATGACTTTGATCACAGAGAACGAGGCCGATATCCAGAAGGTTCTTCTGTTCCATCATCTTCTTTTGATAGGTAAGTTTAGATAATGGAGCAGGTTTTTGTGTGCCAGCATCTCTGTGGATTTCACTCCTGACTGTTCAAAACTGAACGTGGTGCTAAAGGCTTCACACAGTTCTGATATAATAGAATTGCAGTACTGTCCTGACATTTCTTGTGTCTTCAGGACTGGCCGCTTTTATCATGGAATCTAATCTGCTTTTCTCTGAGGACTTTAAATTAGCTACCTGGTGGCCTTTTTTTGTGAGACATTTCAAAAGGATTTTTGCAATTATTCCTTCCTCTTTCACATCTAGTCACAAGTTCCTGTGGATTACCTGTGTAATTTACTGTGCAGTAAATGCTGGTTCCAGATGGAACTTCATGGTTCCAGTAACCACTAGTAAATCTAAGACCACATAATTGTACCTTCTGGAATTCTGCTTTTAGGTTGCAGTGAAGTAGAATTGTACTGCAATTCTGACTTGAGAAATACAGCATTCCCCATTTAACAGTGGGCAAAAAGGCGGCCCTCTAGTTGCTTAAATTACACTGAACAAAATAGGAACAAATAAATGCATAAAGAAATGTTTAACTGGCTGTTAGAACTGAAGCTCAAAATTATAATTGTAGAAATAAATACACTTTGGGGTGGGAAGGATTTCTGTTCCACATATATAGTAACAAACAACTAATGCAAAGATGGGTGATATTTTATATCCTTATGCATGTGCTTACACGTGCGGAGAAAGGTGAAAATGGGAAACAAGCAAATGACTCTTTCCTACTTTAACAACTTAGGCGAGATCGTTTTGTAAATCAAGGTGAGGCAAAAAAGACTCGCCCTACAGCACGAAGAGAAGAGCCAGGCTTTGAGAGATACCCCAAGACCTTCAGTGAGTCCAGAAGAAATGAACCACCACAGGCAAGAAGCGAACTGCGGGACACGGACAGGCGCGAGGTGCGGGGAGACAGAGATGAGAGGAGAACGGTGATCATTCACGACAGACCAGAAATCCCTCACGGCCGACACCCCAGAGACACCGCTTCCAACCCACCCCGGCAAACCAGCTGGAAGGGCGAGGGAGGCATAAGCACAGACAAACGGGATGGCAGGTAAATGTGCTGACTGACCAGGGAAAGTAGTGAGTCTTGTAGAATTCATCCATAGTAGCAATTCCTCAAGAATTAGTGTGTAAAGAGAGGATAGATCCTCTCCTCCTAAAGAAAAGCATTGTAGGGTATCAAATGCTAAATCTCATCTAGGAACTGGTTGCTGACTCCCAGCAGTTTGTTTTAATCATGAGTAGCAACACAGAGTTAAAAGAGGCTATTGTGTAGAATGTAGATGTAAATGAGTAGCACGTGAGCTTGAATTATTTAAAAAGCCACACAGATTTAAAGGAATGCTTCTAAGAAGTCACTGCAGGTTGCTAGGAACCACAGGAATCTCTGCTGTCTATATGTGCTGTGATTTGGTACCAATTCAACTATACTGAAACCCAAATTTTGATGAAAGCAATTTTTACAGAGGCGAGCGGCCGGAGCGGTCGGGAAGGGAAGTGTCCAGCCACGTGAGGGGAGCTCCTCCCGGGAGCCGCAGCAGCGCCTCCGGCTACGGGAGCAGGGAAGGAGAGCGGGGCGTGATGGGAGACAGAGGTGGAGGACAAGTGAGTCACCTTCTTGTGTTTGTGTGTGTGAAGGAGAGGCTGGAAAATGCAGGCTCATGCTGGAAAAATGACCACATAACATCATCAGAATGATTCGCAAGCATTCTGCCTATCTTCAACTTCATTTTCTTTACGTTAAAGGCTCTTTTTTAATAACCCAAAAAAATTACAGACAAATTACCCTATTCTTCTTGTCCGGCATCTTTGTTATCATAAAGATAATTTGTTATCTTTATGATAACATACATATTGATTATTTTTATGAACAATACCTGAGAGAGTAGATGATTAAGCTTTTGAGAATTTGTTGTCACCTTCTCAGGGTTTTAACCATACACTCACTGCCTGCTATTTTCAGTGCAGTTTGTAATTGTAATTTGTAATGTGATACTGAGTGAAAATCCTTCTGCAAGACTTGTCTTTAAAGACTACAGATTAACTCACTCCTGTGGTAACCCCTGAAGTATTTAAAAAGTATTAATGTGTGATGGTGTTCGCAGGGGTCTTAGGATGAGGGAAGAGATGAGGATCTGACTCTGTGTTTCAGAAGGTTTGATTTATTATTTTATGATATATATTATATTAAAACTATACTAAAAGAATAGGTGAAAGGATTTCATCAGAAGGCTAGCTAAGAATAGAAGAAGAAAGAATGAATAACAAAGACTTGTGTCTCAGACAGAGAGTCTGAGCCAGCTGTGATTGGCCATTGATTAGAAACAACCACATGAGACCAATCCCAGATGCACCAGTTGCATTCCACAGCAGCAGATAACCATTGTTTACATTTTGTTCCTGAGGCCACTCAGCTTCTCAGGAGAAAAAATCCTAAGGAAAGGATTTTTCATAAAATGCGTCTGTGACATTAATGTTCTTCCTGAGTTTTATGCCAGTGATAATGAGTTCCGGGCAGAATTGGAAATAAAGTATGAGTTTGTGGAACCTCACTCACTGCATACCCACACAATTGTTATTAATTTTGTTAGCTAGAATTCACAGGAATATTGTAAACATGTCTGAGCAGCCTGTGGACTGAAATCTTGAAAGACTTGTGTTTATTGTATCAGCTGTAAGCTCATCTTTCAGGACAGGCCTGTTCCTTGTAGGTGAACCAGTCCCTTCTCTGTGAGAATGACTGTGTCACTTTCTCCCCAGCACTACAACGAGGACAGACACGTCGTAGAACGCCACAGTCGTGAAGCTGGACCAAGGAAAGAGTGGCATGGACCTAGTTCTCAAGGAAGTGGCTATCATGACACAAGGAGAATGGGAGATGGCCGTGGAGGAGGGGGCATGATGGCCCCACATACAAGGTACAGAAAGCACTCCTTCCTCTCCGTCCCCTACTGAGCCCCTGCAGGCTGTGGTGTCCTTAGCAAGTGCAGCAGGGTCACAGCCCCAGCCCCACCTGCCTGGCCAGCACAGGGCTCCCCAGGGCTGCTGCACAGCACTGAGGGACTTCTTGCCAAGTCTCTTCTCCTGCATGTTCTCAAATCTCTTTTGAGACTTACAGTTTAGCAGTTGATAGGAGATGTAAGAATGTTATTACCTGTGCACCAGGAGTTTAGGTATATATCATAACACTTTTTTTTAAAACTTCTGTTTCCAGTAACTCTTCACCCATTAATAGAGTTGTACAGATCACAGGCAATTCCATGCAGAGGGGAAGTGGCTCAGGATTTAAGCCATTTAAAGGTGGACCTCCACGAAGATTCTAAGATCTACAGCTGTTTGGTTTCAAGATAACTTATTGAAATTTCTTGTAAACTTTCTCTGATTAAGAACAGGAAATCTTGTCTGGAAATCCTGGTTAAATTTTTTTAATTTAACATGATTATTTTCCTCTCAATTTTGGAGGCATTTTCATAGTTACGTTGTAATTTTGGATAGTTTTTGTGTATCTTTGATAAGCATTTTCCCTGAGGCACTAGAGCTGTGTAAAAAGAAATTGGAACCAAAATATTTGTTAATTCTGTACAAAAGGATAGTTTGCAGCTGTGTGCTAGTAGTTTGATTTGCCAACATTAGCTCTGTGGTGTCATGCTTTAAGGTTAGCTACTTCTCACAACATCCACAATAACCTCCATTTTGAAGGTTGTCCAGACTATTATCTCTGCTTTCTAATTTGTAGAGAAATAAGATTTGTTCTTTCATTACTGGGTATTATGTAACCTATTTTTGCAGAAGGTACTGTTACATTGAGTGCATTTATGTGTATTCTTGCAAATGTATTCTTTTGAAATAAACCTTCATATTCTGTATAGCTTCTAGTAAGTCTTTAAAGCAGTCTTTGGGGAAGGCAGGCAGAATTAAAGAGACATGTTGGTATAGCAAATCAAAGCATGGGTGCCATTAGGTTCTAAGTAAGACTTGTCTCCTTCACTGTTACTGAACTGAAAAACGTAGAAGCACATTTGCTCACAGAAGAAAGATTAGAACCAAAAAACCCCAAAATACTCAAGCAAGGCCCAAAGAAATAATTTTAGTTTGCTCTTTGTGTTTAGCAAAGCTCTGTGGAAGTTTGAAACAGCTGGGGTTTGACACCAGAAGCCACAAACTCTGCTTACAGGGCTCTGGGACTCCTGCAGCTGCTCCTGATGTGGCCCTGAGCAGAAGGCTGCATCTTGTTCAACCTTTTGGATTGGGTCAGCATGGAAGGGTCTGTGTTAAACCAGGCCCAAACAGAAATGCCAGGCAGCCAGGCCAGGACTCATTTATCACCCAGCCAGTGTAAGGGTACACTTACAACTCTGCTCTTCAGCAAGGGAGAAAAGCAATGAATCCCACGTGGAAAAGCTGGGTGCTGGATGGTTACCAAATAACAGGGCACTCCTAGCAGAACAGAAGAGCTCAGGAAATAGTCCTGGAATAAGACCTGGAAGGGTTTACTGATCCAGACTGCCTGTGAAAGGATTTCAGTTACATTTTTTAAGGCATGGGGCAGTAAGAAGATGCTGATTTCTGCTTGCTGTGTGGAAGAACTGCTAAGCACCTGCAGTGTTCCAGGGGAATCAAGAGCAGAGCAGAGAATAAGGTCAACCAAACTGGTTTGGAGTAAGCAGCCTTTCAGGAAAGATGCAGGAGACAGAAACTGAGAAACCTGCTGTGCAACAGCATTGTCTCTAATTAATCCTATATGCATATTCACATCTGATAAATACTTAAGTTTAAACAAAAGAAATGCAGTCTCAGCCAGTGTGTCACTTACCTTGATACATTAATACATCTTATTCAATTCTTAAAGAAAAATCTAGGAAGTTCGATTTACTGAGTTTTGCTGCAGGAGTTTCCAAGAGAAAGTACCAATTCCCAGTGCATTTTCCAAAGTACTTATGCATTTGGCTGCAGTCTGTGCTTTATCAGGTGTGAAACACACACAAAACAAATACCTGCTCCAAGATGAATTGATAGTGGCTAATGGATCAAATGGACAATTTCAAAGTTTATAACCTTAAAAGCTATAGAGAGGTACAAAAATAAAACTTGAGATGTGCTTGGTTCCCTGTAAAAGTCTAGATATGCATTCCAACAGTTACTTAAGTAAATTAAAAATGTAATTGTGCAGGTGTAATCATTTCCCTTAAAATACTAAAACTCAGACAATGGGGAAAAAAACTGACTGAAAACAAATTGCTGAAACCTTTGAATTTATCAAAACCTGAAGAGCACCAGAAGTCCATCCTTTTTTTCCAGAGTGAGTTTTTGTTGTGTTATTGTTTGTTGGGTTTTTAAGTATATTTTTTAAAGTATATCATCCAACCTTTATTATTAGGAAAGAACTTAAATATCTAAATGAAATATTTATTTAAGTTTGCTCACTTAAATTTATTTACATACAATGAGTTTCAGAAGACTGTTAACCAAAATAAATCTCAGTTGGGTAAAGACCTTGAACTAGAGAGAGGCTGATAGCAGGAGACACTATTTAAAAGGTAACAGATTTTAACAGCTTGTGGTACACAAACAAAAAGGGGTATTAAGATACAGAACTGGATTTCTCTGAAAACTATTTGTGTTCAAAATTATTTTAACAATTTACAAGGAAATGTTATTTCCTTATAGTCCTTAAAAACACATTAATACAATATAAACAATTAAGGCTTTTAAAATGCAAAACATTCAGTAGTTGAACTTGTAGATGCCATTACAGTGCTGGATAATGGTGTCACATGATGAAAAGTATTTCATTCACATACATTGGTACAAATGATACTGCATGACTAGAATTAATTGTGTCATGCACCTCTAAAACACAAGTTAAAAAAAAATTTAACTTCTCCCCTCTCTTGGTCAATCCAGAGTCACTTGCATCAGCTTTACTTTGCATTTCCTTTTAAGAGAGATCAAGTAGGCATGGGGTGACTAACAGACTCACAGCTAAATGCTGATTTAACACAGGAATTGCACAATTCTGATGGCATCTTGAAGACATTACTAATCTGGAAGTATTTTGGATTTTTTCTAAAATATGTCAGGTTTGTGGGGGAGGCTTTTTTAAAAAAACATTTCATTGTAAAAACACCCAGTCAAGGCAGTTAAGACAACAAATATTTGACTTAGCACTGGAGAACTTGGGGTGACTTCTGTAGGATTCATTTTTGTATGTCCCATCAGTCATTTCTTCACTAAGCTTACATGTGTGTGTAAAAGGTGATTATCACAAATAAGGGCTATGCAGGTGGTGACCAGATAAAAGGATAATTGAAAATTATTAAATAAAACCAAACTTGGATAAGAACTTCTTTTGCTGAAAGCTGTAAACTCTGTCATTTAACATTAAAGCTCTATCAGGTTATGCAGACAGTATTTCTCACTCCCTTATAAAGAAGTTGCTGTAAGGAATTTAACATAATACTGAGCAAGATGTAACAGATTTAGAATAGATTTCTGTGGCACAAGTACTTGATACTTCTGTAGTTCTGAGAACTGCTATCAAAGTTGTAAACAGTGACTACACACTGCAGAAACACAGGGAAAAGCCATTCACAGGTGCTCTAATCTGTCCAGTACAATCTGATAGTAACCTGCATTAATTTGGGATCTTTTTGCAAATACAAAGCCCATCCAAACCAGAACCCTGCTTATTTCATCACTGTCTGCACTGTAACTCCCTCACCAGTCACACTTTCCAGTGGAATGTTACAGCACTGGTTATTTCAAGAGTTATCAAAATACAAGTGAAGAAACCCTTGCTACAATAGGTTTGTCTCTTGAAATCACTGTACCTATGGTCACTTCTTTAAGGAGTTCTCTAAAATTAATTTTGCTTGCCAATCCCTAAGAGAAAGCATGTAAGAAATCTGGAAATGCAAACATACCTGCTGTAACCTGAGCATATGGAATGCAAACATGTAATTATTGCAACTATTCATGATAAAAAATGCAAAAGCTGGATTACAAATAATATAAAGTCCACAAGCAGGTTCCTTGGTTCACTGCATCCATCTGCAGTCTCTTGAAGATACCACCTACTACTATGCTTTTCCAAGCAATGGAAGGATTTTATTTCCACAGCAATACTTTTTTTCTGTAGTTAATAGAATGGCTGGTAACATATACCCATGCAATTGGCCAAAATCCCCATATGTTACCTCACAGAGAACCTTGTTTCAAACTTTCACTGTGAAGGGCTTCACTGAAACTCAATTGTGAACACAAGAGTAACTAAGATAAACCAGTTTCTAGCTCTGGTTAATCTGCAGTAACAAAAGCCCTCAAATTAACAGACCTATTGCTGGCCTGATACCAAAATACTGGAGAGAAAATTGTCTGGTTTTGTAAATAGTTTGGAGTTCCCCAAAACAAGAGATGAACAAACCCAAGGGTGTTCCCATTACTCAGCTTATTTAAGTTTTTAAAGTGATTTAAGACACACTGGTGTTTCTTTTAATTGCAGCTTTGACCTTTTCCTTGGCATGTGCTAATAAGCAGGAACAAAAGCCATCACAGGGTTTCTGTCAAAAATACAAGTTATCTCAGCTTTTTTGGAAACACATTCAGAAGAAATCTAAAAATGTTAAACTAAGGTGAAATTTCAAAACTGCTTAGCACAAATGTAACAAAGTTACAGCTGAAGTTTTAACTCAAAAAGCCAATCCAAATTTTCCTAAAGGCTTCAACAAGAGAACATGAACTTCAAGACAGACATCTCACTTATTTCATCCAGCTCTGTGATGGAGAACCTCAGTTTGTCTCAGCTAAAGGCTTTGGCTCATGAGACACTGTTAAATCAATCCCCATGTGATTCACAACAGGTGTCACTTATCGTGGATGGGACCTAAACTGAAATTGGCTCAGCACTAAAGGAAGTTCAACAGACTAATTTAAAAAAATAATAAAACTTAGCTGAGTTTGTGTCCCTGTGCACCCCCAAGGTGTCTGCACATTTGGCTGAGAGTCTGACTCTATCAAACAACCCCCATTTCACTCACTGCCTGTTGAGGAGGGCAGCACGGGCAGGGCTCAGCTCTGAGCAGAGCAGCAGCTGCCTTGGATTCCAGCAGTGTTACATTAATTGTAAGCACTCTGTAGACTGAGCTAGCAACATTTCAGTAACTCTGAGTGCTGAAACTTCATCTGAATCATTCCCTAGGATTTCCCAAAATAACACTATTTTGTTGCATGAATTTTTCTATGCTGTTGAGGCAAACATGGAATCTCGATTTTCTAATGATAATTAACTGAGTATTTAAAGATTTTAACCTTGAAAAACAAGGAATTGCCTGTTTCAGCACATAAAGCTTCTCCATGAACACAAGTAATCCTACAAACCAGAAAAGGAATGAGGAAGGCAGATTTCAGCAAGTTCTCTAGAGAGCTCAAGAGTGATAGGAGCTGACATTGAACAGTAGGCAACTGACATTTAATAAGAATATTTGGAGCTATCAGAGGATCAGCACAGCTAGTCCTGACTTTAAAGCACAGTGAGAGTGAAGAGCAGTGTGTCCAGGGACAGACACTGCCAACCTGCCAGGAAATGAACCTGCTGGGCATTACCTAGGTGAGAAAATGTGGCCATTGCACGCTGTGCCACAGCTATTTGTGTCCAAAATAACAGCAAAATTAAGGACAAAGCCTTAAACAATCTCTAGAGGTAGCATAGGGACTTTTCTATGTTCCAGCCTCTCCTTCCTCCTTAGCATTCCCCTGTGGCACTTCTCCATCAGCGCAGATCACAGCTGAGTTTGCATCCACTGCTTTCCTACTGGGCAATCTGAGAAAAGGGAGCTGCACAGGAGCACTGACCATCAGACAGACTCTGCCCATGCCATGGTGTGAGGAGGTGTCACTCACCTCCTCCCTTTTCCTACTCAGCACTAACAGTCTCTCCTTAGTTATGCTTGATAAAAAAGGATGTGCATTTGTCAAGATGAAATGCCATTTTCAGGCCTTGCACGTGACATTTGCTATCCCTGGACTGAATTAACATTTTTGAGAGTTGGATTTTTCTTGCTCCCAAAGTGTTCATCATAGCACAGATGGAAAAGATGGAAGCATTTTACTGCAACCAAACTGCAGCTTGTTATTTTTGCTTTTCTGTAATATGCTTTCTAATGAGGATTCTCCATCAATAAATGTGCATTTCCTGAGTCACCTGTTCAATGCTGCAACCTTTAAAAATCTGCTTTTATATAAAGCTTGTAATTCAGTATGTTGTATTGAAGGATGTACTTTGTATAGATTCTCTAGTAAGCATCCTAATGCAAAGAGCTGATCCAAGCAATGAGCTGACTTTGCTACAGAACCAGTGGAGCAGGAATGAAGAATGGTTCATTAAAAATTCATCAGCTTTACCTTTCACTTTAGTATTTCCTGCTGAATGCACAAGAAAATTCATTTCAAGAACTCAAAACTGCCTTTTATTACATACTGGAAACTTTTTTCCAAGAGCTTGTGTGTACAAGTTTGAAGAAACATGACAATAATGTGACATACCAAGTGAATCAGAGCCTGCCTGGCAATGCCAGCAGCGCCTGTGCCTCCCCTGGAGCTCGTGTGACCTCCTGGGAGCCACAGAGCAGCTCTGCACAGAAACTCTGAACACTTCATTTCCTCTATGAACAACATGGACAGCTAACAAAATGTAGTTTTTGCATTGTGTTTAAGTGAATTTTCAGGAATGCTAATTTCATTCTCTGGTGTTAACACCCTCTGGATCCGCTTTGCTGGCTTGCAGATTCCACGAGTGTCACAAGAAAACTGGTGGAGTTGAGCATTTACAAAGTGCCTTATAGAAAACATTTATCTCTACGGCAGTGCTCTGTTTTTTGCTAATCTTAAGAATACTTGTATGTAGCTTTTTTTATGTCACAACTATAATGCAACAACAAAAATTCTATGATTCTGTTTTCTGTGCTAGCATTTATCTAGTGGAAAACAAGTTCTACTCTACTTTTCTGGACACTTTCATATATATTATGTAGGTATTTGGAGCATGTACATGCTAAACTGTATAAATAGATTTAAAGTATAAATCTATACCCTTTGCCAGAACATGAGCTGGAGGAAAAAAAAAAAAAAAGAAAAAAAAAGGCAAATGAAGTAAACAGAAGTAGATATTGTCTTCCTGGTACTCCAAGACTAAATTGTGCAATATTGTTTTCCAAGCTCACTTCATATAGATCAAAGCAATTCTGTTCAGGTTTTTTGATCCTCAGATACTGTCAGAGGTACCAACTGTGACAGGTGCTTTTGGAATGGTTACTCCCAGTAGGGCATAAATTAAGCTTCCAGGTGAATTTCATTTTGGGCATTAGGAAGCTCAACTGCTTATAACTTTTGCCACTAACAAGTTCAACTCATGCAGCCCTAGATTTCAGGAATTCTTTACCTTTTTTCCAAAGCTTCAAGACCTGTAAAGAAAAAAGGATATTAACAGAGGACTGTTTTCATAGCATGCCTTCCATCTCAAATACCCTGAAACCTTTACTCCTCTACTGAAAGAAACTGAAATATCTGGGAGTTACAACTTCATGATGAGCATTGCATTTAACTCTTCTTCCTCTGTGACCAAATGACCATAATTCCTCTAACTACAGTATATTAAGTTTCAGGCACATCTGTCTGAATCTGATAATGTTACATGAATTCTTCTAATATGAACAAGTATCTTAGGCAAAGAGATAAACTCCATAGCCACAACAGCTAGATTCCTTCCAAAGGAGTTAAAGTGGCAATACTGTCACTGAAAATAATAACAAACACTTAGCTTGACATATTTATTTTTCAAGGTCAATAAATAAATGTAAATACACAAAATTTGGAAAAATCTTAGTAACAGAATGTTTTTAAACAACATTCTGGCTTAAAGTCTCTGTTATTGACACTATTGGAATATTTTCTCATCTACTTAAAGTAGCTAAGTCATTATGTTGGTGATCCTCCATCACATTAATTTTTGAAGTTAGGCTGCTGCAAAGGAAAAAAAGACATCAACCTTTGCTTTGACATACAAAATTATCTGAACTGCATACATTAAGTATTAAAATTACTTCTCTGGGCATGACTTTTCTAGAGAAGATAATTTTTAAATTTACAGTTTACATATTAGAGACCTCCTACTGTTCATTACTTCATCATTATAAAAGGGAAATCGTAACAAAAGTGGAAGAAAAACAAAGGAGGAAAAGGCATGGAAGAAAAGTGATACAAATTGGCCCTTTAGTTGGTAAGACATTCTTCCTTTATCTCATTTTCATTCTAGGTTGGTAGCAGATGTGTGTGAGGACTGGTTGCCAGCAGTGCAGCCAGTGCAGCTTGAAATAATTGTGAAGTGGCTTTTTACCAGTGGACTTGTGTTAGACACCCACTTTTGCAGACATTCTCCAAACACCTGGAAGCAGGAATGTCATGTTCCACCTCTTGCCCAGGTTATTCTGTGTGAACACTAAGGCTTAGAGCACAGATACAGAACTTGTCCAGTAGAAGCAGCCTTTTTCAAAAGTATCTACAAATTGCTAAATAGAAATTTTTATCAAAAGGTTCAGCAAGAACTAATTGTTATTGATTTAATGGAAGTGGAGGAAGATTTGTGGTTCCCTCAAAATTCATCAAGTGTTCTGTTTCTGCATTCTATAAATACTACAAGATGCAACCCGTTTATTTGGTTCCCATAAATTAGAAAAGTCTGGTTTCCAAAAATTCTAAATTAGTGATTTAAAAAACAAAATATTACACCTGACCACCTTTCAAACCATCTCAGAGAGGGAGCTTCACTCCTCTCTCACCACTTCTGAAGTGTGCTTTTTTAAGAATACATGATTTATAAAACAAACAAAAAAGTGTGTTTTTAACTACAGTACACTTGCTTAAATATACAAGTGGACATGTTAACGTCATGTTGAAGTTCAAGGTACTTCTGGATAAAAGGCAGATAGTTAGTTATTTTAACTCTGCATTCTTATATAGAATAACGATTATTATAGACTTTAGTTCCCTCTCATCATTCATCTATCATATGGAGAGGTCAATAAATAAAAGCTTATCTGGTCCAGTTTACCTACAAGAGAAAAAAATAATAAAAGAAAAAGAAGTTACCTATAAAATTACTTGTTTAACCCTGATAACATCTGAGTTGCCATACCCAGTTTGTAGTTGCAAGAAAAGCAAACAATATTCATCTTGCTTTTTAATAAATGCCCCATTTTCTTCATGACAATTTTTGTATGCTGCCTATCAAGTCACATATTCTTGGGGCAAGAAAGCTGGCCAGGAGATGCAGTGATAGCAGTAACAAGTATAAATCTGGGTTCAAAAAAAGAACATACCAGATCCAGAAGCAAAGAAATCTGGACACACTGAGGAGGCAGTGCCCAGCTGTTATTTGGGCTCTTGTGTCATGGAGACTATACCCAGCCTAAGATATAGTTTCATACTAAGGAAGTAACACAGAACTCCATTGTGCTCGTGTACAGACTTCAGGAAAAAGCCTTACACAAAATGAATTACCTTTGTTTAGAGTAGAAGATAAAATAGCTTACTAACTGATGGAATGAGTAATGGATGTCACTATGACACAGGACTTGCCATGAGTTGTGTGTTCAGCTACAAGGTGCAATATTTCTTATGACTAACTCAAAGCACAGCCGCATCCAACTGTGTTTGGAATTCCCTCGTGAGCAGCTCGCGCTATGACTTTGAAGGAAGTCTGATTGGTACAAAGCCATCCATCCTCTCTTGGAACGTGAACAAAATCCATGGGGTAATCAGGCACAGGCGGCATGTAACAGGTTTGTCTTCCTTTTGACTCCTTGTTTTTGCTTCTGAGGACATGCACTTGGCTCCAGCTGGAATCCATGCTCTGTTACAAGAGAACACAGCTGTTCTTCTCTTTCTCCCTCTCCTTCTCCCGAGGCTCTTTGCGTTTGCGTTCGTTACTCCCGGATTGTCTTGTGCTGGCTGGAGAGGCAGCACCTTGTACCTGCTGTGTAGGGAAAATAACATGGGAAATAAACCCAGCAGCACTGCACATACAGCCTGAACTCCTCCTGTGTGCTCAAGTTCACAAACAAAAAGTTTAAGTATTATGCAAAGCAGTAGAGTTCAGGGAGGGTTTTTGGTATACCTACTCCGGGACCTCCACAAAGTTGTGTATTTCTTGAAAATTAAGTCAGATGAAAATAATATTTCAAGTTTCATGTGTCCTTTCTGTTGTGTCCACATATACAGATCAGTAGTTTCAATAAAATACAGTTTCAAGCATTTTCTGGCGCTTCTGTATTATTGCACTGGAATTTTCTCTTGGTTTCTCTTATAAGCACATAATCCACTTTTCACTATTTGCAGAGTCAAAGTGCTGCTGTGGACAGTGAGATAATGGTAAGGCAGCAGCTTTTTGTGACTACAAACTCCTTAATAACTTGGCAAGGGGGTTGGTATACAAAGGCAATGTAAGTTTTGTTAATTCATCATCTATTCCCTCTGTACCCATTCATAGCTGCAAACAAGCAGGCTCTTAATCCTGTTCAGCAGGTCCTTCAGTTCCTTCTGCCTTTGGCAGCTATGAATCTGTGTCTTAACTAGATACTGCTGGTTCTATTAAAGCAACAAAGACTGCAAATAACACAACTTTTACCTGTCAAATTTCTTGCTTCATGCTTAACAAACTTAGTAGTTAATGGTTCTGAATTACTTCAGGCCAAAGATGCAGGATTTATATAGATTATTTCTTACCTATTTGTAATAAATAAAAGCAGTTCTGAAAGCCCTCAGTGTTTAAAACCTCTCTAAATCCAAAACACCAGCTTAAATAAATATTGTCTATGGCACAGAAGATTCAGTTAAATTGCATTTTTTGATAGACATGTGCATGAATCACACTTTCAGAAGATTTTGAAATCAATTGCTTATGGTTATGGGATGGAAAGGTGTACTGGGAGAAATTGTGAATTGCCTGATTTGGAACAACAGAATAGATTCACATGAGATCACAGTCTGAATCACCTAAAAATGTACAGCAACAAACTTCTGCAACACAAAATAAAGACAAAGCTTCAACTATTATCAAAAAGTTTAGCTCAATGCTCTTCTGCAAGTAATGTAAAATACTAGCTAATACCATCTCTGTAACCTGACATATTAATTCATACCATCATTCCAAAATAAGTATAAATGAAACCCTAATTTAGAAGGCTAAGCCTGCTCTAAAGTATTTAAATGTCTGCAGTTTTCATATCTACAGGCATACTCTAACAACTGTAGTGTATTCCTAAAGATTCCAATATTCACCTCAGGCTGAAATGTGTACAAGCACAGATGTATCTATGCAATTATTCATACTTTCTAAAATTGATGATCATATTCTGTGGTACTGTTTTCTTACCTGGACCTGAGCAGCTGCTTGTTCTTGTTCCTGATAGTACTGAGAAGCTCTCCTGTCCTCCTCTTCCTGGAGCTTCTTTGCTAGCTCCAGATCACTGATTCCTTCTGGGATCTGTTCCCAGTTAATCTCTTGATTCTGCTGCTCTTGTTGTAGTGACAATGCCATCAGGTAATCCTAAAGAGTAAACTTCTGAATTAATGCTCTTTCACAGAGAAAACAGTCATGTCATACCAAGGGAATTTTTCAGCATGTGCAGCTACACAGTACCAACACTTTTCTCCCAGCCTTATCTTCAAATGGAGATCAGGAATTTGTTTCAGAACCTGTCCATAACCTCAACTGCAGGAAGGCTGAGAACAGCTACTTTACATGTCTGCTTTCACAATGACTAAGCTGCAGCACAGAAGACATAAAAAATAATTTAAAAATGTTGCTTTCAGGTTTAAATTATATTACCTAGACAGCAGCAAATTATCTGTCAGATTTTTATTCTGAGAGAGACAATTATTAATTTCCCTCCAGTATTTTAAAAAAATTAATGGTGATGACTGTAAACTATAGATTTTCAAGGAACTTAGTCTTGCTCTGCACTTGTGCATTACCTGGTACAACTCAGCCCAACCTCAGACATGACTTCTGCAAACTCTGTGTCTCAATAAGAATAACAAACACCCACCAGACACACAATCTGCTGTGGGGTCTGTCCTACATTCAGCCAAGTGGGCAGCACAAGGCAAAGTTCAGCTATGACAATCCTAATTCGCTGAAGGGAGTTTGTTGTGTAGGAAGAAATTCCCCAGTCTGTTTCTGTTTCCATATACAGAACAGAGGTGACATTTCACCTGAGTGAAGACTTGGCAGAAGTGGATTCTGAGAGATTAAAATCCCATTTTCCAAACCACTCAGTTGGTCTTACTTTTCCTCCCTCAAAACCATATTAATACATTCAAATGGAAAACCATATTAATACATTCAAGTGGCACTTTTGGGAACCCCAATCTAATTACCTGAAAGAGTTTTATAGTCCCAGATATGCATGAGTATACACACATACACATCTGTGGAATTACACATAAATATGATAAAAACCAGTACTAACTCACAATGGAAAGGCAGGAATCCAGTACCTGATCTATTTGATCCTGCTGCCCTCTGTAGACAGTTTCAGGGTCTGATGGAGGCCTCAGGTGGAATTCAGAGTCACAGAAATTCCCATCACCATCCACATTGTGTAAACTTTCCCACACAACCTTCTCTTCTGTAAGAAAGCCCTGGTCTGTCACCAGCAGGTAAAGCTGACCCTATACAGAAGAACAAGGAAAATTTGTAAAACTAAAAAAAAAATACTTTTTACAATCTAAGTTGCAGAAATGAGATAAATGTTGCATTCCAATAAAACATTTAGAGTTTTTAGCACATTCAGTAATTAAATAAATCAGCATACAGCATTAAACCACCAGATACTAGTATTCCCTGCTAAATTAACAACCACACCATTTCTGTATTCCATCTTGCAACTCTTCATTCTTAATAGAAGTTTGTATTGACTAGAAATTAATATATATACATGAATGAATATATTAATATATATACCTTGACCTTGTATATATATATATATACTTATATATACTTATATATATATACTTATATATACTTATATATACCTATATACCTTGACAACTCTTTAGAAACACACCTAAGAAGTAGACTTAAAACCTGGCAACAAAAACTTTAAATCCTAGGAGTAATCACATTAAATTCCAAAGGCAAGGTATGGAGACAAAGGTGACCTTTCCAAACAATCCAAGAGGCATTACCTCAAAATGGCCACATCTCAGACTTCATGTTTCATAATGAGCTTTGATAGAATTTGAGGTCTCTGTCAATTGAAAGCTCTAAATTTAAAGATTCTTGCTATCACTTGTTACCAATAATTACTTTTGTTGGCATTTTAGTAATTTTACAGTTCCATAAGGCCAAATTTCTTGATTTCAAAGTCTGAAATTATAAAATGGGCTGGTCTGGAGTGAAGGAGACAATGCTAACAAGTGCAGATACCAAGGTACTGGAAGGATGAAAGGCAAGCTTAGGATGTTTAGGATGAGGGAGTGGGAGAAGAACTGAAATCAGAGGGAAATAACTGGAGTAGGCACCAAGTAAAAGGAGATGGTGCTGCATGTCTGAGGGACAGCAAAGCAGCACAAAATACCTGTTTGAATTTCCATTTAAATCAATCCATTGATTTCATCCTACCTTTTTCATCATGTTTTTAGGATTATGCTCCAAATCAAGAATGTTGTTACTGACCATAGAGCATTTTAAGACTGAAACTCCCATTAGTATGACTGAATGTACCAGATCAAGACACTCAATACAAAACTTGTAGCAGTGGTTTAGCCATAAAAATCAAGTTTATTGTGACGTCCACAAAAATCTGGTATTTGTATTCCAGCAGCATACAAAGGGTTCTCAAAGACTGCTGTGCTGAAGTTGTACCAAAGCAAGAGGCAGATCCTGTTCTAATGATTTCTAAGGCTAAACAGGCAAGAAATGGAAACTCTGTCCATACTCAACACACACAGAACGAGCTCCCTGACTTCTCTGGAGTCATTCAATAACTCTCTAAGGGAGATGTTGAAATTCCACTCACGTCTCGTCAATCCCACTCTGTTTACAGCTGCCCGTGCTGGGGCTGGGAGGTCACTTGATGTAACAAAAATATTATTTGAAGACTCACATACAGTAATTATTCCAATATTACCTAACACCATAACATGCAGTTATACACAAGGCCAAACAGAGTGGGTAAAAAACCCAACCCAAAACCAAACAGGTAACACTACAGTATGTTCAAGCTTTGGAATGGGAGTTAACCAGCACAGCGGGGCTCCACAGACATAAATGCAAGTGTCAGCAACAAGTCTGATCACATAACATGATCTAAGAAATCATCTGTCCCTTGGAACCCTGCCTAAGAACTGAATGATACTCCTGACACTTAAAATTACCTGAAGAAAATAAAAGGAAGTAATTTTGCAACATTTCCAGTTTGCACAAAATAACTACTTCACAATATTTTTTTATACAAGAAGTCTTCAAAAAGATATTAAAAAATCCCAGAATTTTAAATATAAAATGCATTTGAACTTTTAAGTTTTATTTTGAACACTACATTGACTCAAACAAAACCTAAAAAAGGGGGTGGTTTGTGTGTCTCCCAGGTTTTCCTCTATTATGCCATACATTTTAATTACAGCCCATAAACTGTGCATCTTAGTAATACTGAAATTGTGAAAATACTAGTTTTCCTATCTCTAAACTATTATAAGCTTAATTTTTCCACACACAAATATTAAGGTATATCATTGCCTTCATGCAATTAGAATGTAGCATCTAAGGATGGATTAAAGCTAACACTTGCTTGAAATGGAGACCTGTTTCAAACCTGAAATTCATATTCTTTGTAAGAATTTCTCAGTTGAACACTGATTGTAAAAATGTCACATTAGAGTAAATAATGAAAAATAAATGTAACACAGCTCCCTAATGAAAGGCAATAAACTGCAATTCCAATACCAACTGCATACCTTCAAACATTCTGCTTCACTTGAACAAAGCTTAGCAAACCAACAAACACGGGCTCCCTAGGACCTGATAAGGTACCTGATAAGGGACAGAGTTCCTGGTCACATTATTGGAATGGAAAATGGGAAATCACAGATCAGAGATCCGAAGTCATCTTTCCCTTGTTTTTAACCAGCTTCTCTGATCTCTACATCATATTAGTATAATTAAATTGGATTCCCCAAAAAAACCCAACCAGGACCCTCACAATATTGCTAATATTCATGGAACCTTTGGCAATAATTTCATATCAAGTAAGAGGAGGTGGCTCTTTAGCTGCGAGCTGTAACGTAGCCTCTCATCATGGGTTTGTTCTTCACTTGCAACTAGAAAATAGAGGCTGGCTCTGCAGGCACAGTTTTAATGCCAGGCACGTTCTCTTCCCCACGCTAAAGGCACAGGCCACACTCCGTGGCACAGCCCGGCCCAGCAAGGACTGCCTGTGAGCCGAGAGAAGCTTTTACCTTCCGACCTCCGCGCTGCCCCGAGCCGGGCCCGCACCGAGCCGGGCCCAGCCTGCGGCCAGGAAGGAGCCGCCCTTCCCAGGCACTTCCACAGCCGGGCCGGGGCTGCCTGCGAGGGACAGGGACACGGCCCCCGAGGGGGGACAGGGGACACGGCCCCCGAGGGGGGACAGGGGACACGGCCCCCGGGGGGGGGACAGGGGACACGGCCCCGGGGGGGGGGGACAGGGGACACGGCCCCGGGGGGGGGGAACAGGGGACATGGCCCCGGGGGGGGGGAACAGGGGACATGGCCCCGGGGGGGGGGAACAGGGGACATGGCCCCGGGGGGGGGGAACAGGGGACATGGCCCCGGGGGGGGGGAACAGGGGACATGGCCCCGGGGGGGGGGAACAGGGGACAGACACACGTCCCTGAGGGACAGGGACACGGCCCTGAGGGACAGGGACACGGCCCCGGCCTGTGCTGACCAGGCCGAGCTCGGGACACTCAGGCAACCAATGCACACAAAAATGGCTTTCAAATGCTCCTCACTCTCTGAGAAGAGTTGTTTGCAAAATGTTTCTACCCTCAGAAAAAATCTTAACTGGCCATTTCTAGAGCGCTACCAGATTATCTTTTAGATTTGTTTTTAAATGTGGGTTTTTTTAACAAATACCCAGTCTCATGGGTTAACACTGCCCCCAAAATACCAGCATGTAATAGACAGCAAAAGTATCTACTACAAACTATAGCCAGTAGGGAGTAAAACAGTGGAAGTCCCAAGTGCATAACTACTGCAGACAGTTTACTTTAACAAAGTTATGACTAATTATTTATTCTAAGAATTGGTATTTAGATATTGTAGACCAATGCCCAGATTTTATAGTTTCACATATAAAAACCTTGAAATAAAACTGAGGATAAAGCAAGATTATGCTCCCAAACAGGGATCTCTCAGTCTTCTGGTTTGCACAAAAAAAACCCTCTCTGAAATGCACAAATACAGGCTACAGGGGATGTTACTAGATCTCCTTTCCTTGGATAATTTCATAATCAGATTAAATAATTAATGTTTTTAAACTACTTGTTCTAATGCAAATTGCCGAGTTTCCATCAATTCAGGAAACAGAAAAAGAAAACCAAACACCTGTCCAATAGCTTCATACAGTAAAGACATTTTAAGCATTATGTTTTGAATAATATGTAAATATTCTCTTGGACTTCTGGATCAGATCCCTTTGTTTTTGTGAAGGTGTTTTAAGTGGATGAATGAGTGTTGTTTTAATTTTCTCTAACAGTTGAAACATTCAGATATACTACCATTAAAAAGAGTTTTTTAAAAAAAGTATGTACTACTGAATTCAGAGTAACCATCAGCATAATAACTGTACACTTACTAAGAAATTGAAAAATAAACATGTTTTTAAGCAATTATATTCATTGCCTCTACTGTGCCAATCTTAAATGCCCAAGGAAAAAGTGCAATTAGTGTTATAAAATTGCAATTGTATTGGAATAAAAGTATCTGTTGAGTTCTGAAGCAGAAATACAACATTCATAAAGTAGAAAACACACATACTTAAAAATCCAAACAGGTAAGTGTCTTGATACTTTTCAGTAAAGAACACAGGATCTGTTACAAACAAGTCTGTGGGAAAAACGTTCCAACTGAACTAAGATCTTCTTACCAAACTGATCCCCTCTTTACAGTCCTGTTTTTCCTTGATCTAGGGAATTATCATTTGATGTATTTATTATCTGCATAATGAAAAGCAAAGGCAAAAAAATAAAATCACATTTTTAACTGCTGAAAATTATTACTGTATAATCACATGAGCCAAGACTATTAGTATGCAATGAAAGGGACAGGAAGTAGAAAAAATTACTTGGACAAGGTTTGGAAATCCAAGTCCTTTCACTAAAGTATCAGCCTTAAAAAACCCACACTGCACTTAAAAATATCCTCAGTGTACAGGTCCTTGTATCAGCTGTACATTAAAGCTGCCAAATAAAAGTTTAAGCATTAGCTTAATTAGAATAATAATTGCTAATTACTTAAGCTGTATTTCTAAAAATACACTGATTTTATTACATGGACAACTTAATAAATGTGTAATTCCCTTTTGATTAACTTTATAGCTGCTTTATTTGTACATTTCCATGTATTGGTTTGGAGGGGAAAGAGAGAAAGGCAGTATTAGAGAAGGAGAAAAAATAATTGCATCATTCTTGCCCTAGGAGTTCTATACCTCCATTTTCCCTGGCATATGTTGTATCTCCAGTTTTCCCAATGGATGGACTTTTCTCCATAGTCCAGCTACTGCTGACTACTGCTCAAACTGTGAGGAAACTCCATCTGCAGAGTGAGCATTAAACCCAGGAGCTGGAAAGAGTGGGGCAGTTGAAAAACATCTCAACTCTTCAGCAACAATGCATCTGGCACTCACACGAGTATCCTGGAGGGCCAAAAATGTCTGGAGAGCTGATCTTGGCTAAAAGCCCAAGTTAAGTCTATTTCTGACTTGATACAAAAGACCACCTAGACTTACAGCTACTGCAACCAGCTGGGTAGGTAGGAGCCAGAAGAGTTACTGCTGGCCTTTACACATCAATTAAAAACTTATCTTCTGTCTTTATTTAAAAGTTTCTTGGTATCTCAAATTCTGCCATGTACCACTCAACAGAGATCCAAATCAAAATGAACACTGTTTACAAGCAATAACCTCAGGAACTAAGACATGTAAATAACACGGAAATTAAACACTAACTACAAGGTCATTCCCCATAATGACTGTGAAAAACAAGAATAATGGCCTCTATTTCAAAATTTAGCATTTCAGAATTCTAAGAATTCTCAAAAAGCACAAGATTAAAACCACTGTGACTTAGCAGCAACAAACCTTAAATATACAAACCACACTAATTTTCAAATACTTTATATTTCTTAGGACTTGTATTTAGTTCTTACAGGTAAAACTCAAGACAGATTTTTACTCACTGCCTTAACCTGTTCTGTATTATTAATATTGGCTGAGGATATTTAACTCATTAAAGTGTTTTTATTTCTATAAGGAATTTTTATTTCTATAAGCATTTTATTTCTATAAGGAAAAAGGATCTCAACTGAGAGGTAAATAAATGTTTACAAGTATGAAGCTAATAAAGCACAGACACACGAGGTTCTGCCCTTTAATGTAATACTGGGCTACAAAAGACTACAAATAGCCTATGTTTTACAAAGCTAATCTGTATTTATAATCCACAGGTCAAAGTGATACTTATTGACTGTATTTTATACAAATAATATTTTAAAGGACTTAATAATAGCACAAAAATGTGTTATTTCCAGGAGGATTCATGTATTTTATCTGGAATGGCCTTCAAACAAAGTAAAAGAGCACCTGCACCTCTAGATACCACTTGTACCCAGAAAGTACAGCTGTACTTTTACTATTTTCTTTTTTAAAACCAAACCCCACTCCATGTAACAAGTGTAAAACAGTGTACAGGCTTGCTTCACAAGCTGCCACCACCTAATCCAAGAACTAAATTTAGAAAAGCAGAGAGGGGAAAAACTATACTCAAAATTGTGATTTAAATGAGCTGCATCACATAATATTTGACCACAGAGAGATTCATTTCATAGCTCTGGGTTACTTAAAGGGAAGAAGGGAGGAGAAGGAGCCTTTCACTGTCCTACTGCTTTAAGTGAGTGGCATTGTATACACAGATTTAAACCACATCTCAGATGTACTCTAATCAGAAAACCAAATGTGTTACCTGCTTGTAGAGTTAATCATTATTTATCAGGACTGTTCAGACCTTTAGCTCAGCTTATGAGTAGTTACTCAAAATGCCAAAGATTAGCACTGACAGTCAAGATTAACAAAGGGAGGAAAAAAGGACTAGTAGTAACAAATGAAAGTGTCATTCACATGAGGTATATGACATTATCATATAACGGCAAAAACGAGTTTCTTAACTTTTTTGCATGTTACACACCTCTTCTTTTTTTTTTGCTTTTATTACCATTATTCATAAGAACAAGTGTACAATAAATTGAAGTCTTATTAAAGAATAGATAACCAAAACATAATTTTAAGCTTCTGTACAAGGGTAAAAACTCATATACTACCATCCTAGCAAAGTAAAGTTGTTTTAGCATGAAGATGCTCCATAAATGAATGTAAACTTGCCAAACCAGATTCTCCATTCCACGGAGGAAGGAGTCCCAGAAGCACTAACCAAGCTGACACTTGCTTTTGGTATCCTGGAATACTCCTTTCACAGCTGCTGCCATTTTGCTTCCCCAGAAACAGATAAAAAAATTAAAAGAAATTCTCTTCTCTAACAAAGGGAACCAATATTGTAGCCCATTTCAACTTCTCAAAACATTTGGGATTTTGCATATGGACCTATTCATCTACTGGCCAAATGTAATGCAAACTTTCAGATCCTCAGAAACAAGAAATTAAAGTAACCTTATCATGCCAACCACAAACTGCAAGAAAATTTAAGCCATGTAAGAAGTGTACATAACTATACCTAACCACAAAGAGTTAACACAGGGAGTAAACTGAACATAAAGGGAAAGGCTACAAGAAGATTTAAAGTAGTAATGGATCCCAGTGACTAAACCACTGTAATCAATAATTCCTAAGTAACATTTGCTACAGACCTTACATTCACTGTAAGCCATATTTATATATAACAACCTGGAATTTAATTCTATTTCAAGACAGTAAAAAAGCGTGACTTGCTTTGAAACACAAAACATAACAATAGAGACAAAAATGCTGAATGTACCTTGTATTTGGTCATGGTGCTAAAATGGTTGTTCCTGAAGAACACACAAAGCTCTCCCTCCTGGACAGCTGAAGTCAACTCACACAGTCCATGGTATGTCAATTGTGTAGCTGTGTTATTTAGGAACTGCTCAGCTACAAACCCTACAAAAGCAAAACATACTGTTATGTGTGTCTATTACACACTTGCTAATATAACACCTGGAAACAATAGTAGTATTTTTCCTACTTTCCCCCTACATCCCCATATTGCCACAAGCCTTAGGGAACACATAAAAAGAGGGGACAAGTTTCAAAGTTCTAAAACCACAGCATTGCAAACAAAATTCCCATGTTCAGAAATGCTATATCCACTTCTAAAATTTCTCATATTTTCTCTTGTTGTAATGGAATATATAATTGATATTCTGATTTATAGGAGACAGTACATAGCTAAGTTGAAATCTGAATGCTGCCACAATAGGGGAAATTCTTGCCAGCTTTTGACAAAGTGTATTGACTAGATCAAGAGCATGCATCAGAGAGCTGAGAAGACAAGCACAGTGCTGTGTGGCTGCCCAGGGAAAGCAGCTCAGCACACAGAATGCAGCTCTTCCCACTGGTATCTCTACTCAGCATCACCCACATGGAAAATTCGTCACGTAGATTTGGCAGGGCACATACTTTGATAAATACAGGGAAACGTGACTTACCTTCACTAACCAGTTCACTGTTTTCTGACTGTTTACAAGAAATTATCTTCTCCACCAGCTGATTGTAACTGCAGTTACCAACTGCTTTTACTATGTCAGCAACCTGCAGCAGGAAGGAAAAACATGGAGGATTTATCTTTGAGAAGAACAGAACACAGCTGCAAGCCAGTGGCAATTATTAATAAGGCAGTAAAAATTCAATAAAGAGAGGATGCTATCCCCTTAAAAAATGTAGGCCAAAACATTTTAGCCCAGTGTTACACATTTTGCTATTTCAGATCCTGTTTTAAATCCTTCGGTTGACCCTTAGCATCAAAAGCTAAGGCATGAACATGACATTGTTGGATCAGCTGTGCCAGGGGAAGAGAACAGCAACTCTCACCAACAAGGCATGAAAAGAAAAACTCTTAGGCATTATTGTTGCAGCCAAACTCACCAGTTTCCCACTCAGCAAACAATACCACTTTATTGTTTATTAAATAATATAATTAAAAATAAATTACATGTTTGCTAAAGATGCAGTTCTCTCCAACCAGTTCCACCATCCTCATTTCTCAATAGCAGTGACTAAGAAATCAGAATTAAAAAGAGGAGGAAAGTAACTTTGTATTCCTTCCAAGTGTTCTCTAATAAGCTTTCAAAAATGATGACTGGGACACTGTATCTGGGGCAACTTGCTACTTCCCTCAGAAAAACAATTCTCCTTTACAGAGTCATAGAAGGCTTTTAAAGTAGTTTGACTATAGACCCAGGCTCTGCAAAGTTCTTGCACTAAAAAACCACAGTCTGTATTCACTCAATTTTTCTGACTAGATTTAAAAACTTCATTACCGTTTTCATTATTGACTTGTTAAAATTCAGAAATACCTCCCCTCCCACCAATAACATTCAGGATAACATTTTTTAAATAATTGAAACAGAGTAAATTACCTGAGGGTCCACTAACCATCCATGGTACAAGGGGATATCAAGCAGATCAAACACTATGCATTCAGGTGTGTATTCAAATACTCGGACACCTGTGAACTTCACGTTGACATCCAGACCTGTCTGCAACTTATGCAGAATTGCCATTGCATCACTCATATTCTGACAACAGAAAGAAAAGAACAGAACAGATCACCCAACACAGCTTTGGACATTTGGTGGTTACTTAAGTAACCATTCATCATTTAGTACTCATCGACTTAATACTTAAAAAAAATAATTCAAGGGGTAAATTACCTAAACAAACATTTCAATGCACATTCACTTCACATATTGTGCCAGGAGATACATGAAATAAAAGAATCTCCCTCCAATCACCTCTTTTACACCCATAAACTACTTTTAGGCAATTCTGGTTGCTTTTAGGTCTATTTCCCAAAGCCACAAGCCAGATGTTTGCAAGAAAACTGAATTATAAAGGAATCTTCAAGGGACTTTTCTTGAGGTTTCTTCTCCCCTTTTAAGCCTTCCCTTACAAGTCAGGCTGAAGTACTTGTCACTACATAATGAATGAACAGTAAGATCTACACAGACCCACTTGCCAACTCTAATTTCAGGGTTCAGTACCGAGAATCAGAGTCTTTAATTGTTCACTACTTTTTTTCTTTAAAAAAACCCGATTTTCTATCTTATTTTGGGCATACCTTTAAATGGCCTGTAGATTCTACTGTTAAAACAAGTCATGAAAGTAGCATTTATTATAGTAGTGAACCCAATGGAATCCTAAGGAGAATTATCAAGTTACGAAGTTCCAATCACAGAAAGGAAAGATGAGCCAAAGAAAATGTGCTTTGTGAGACAGTTATCTTGAACCAACAGATAAAAAAAATTCCCGACATGCAGGAAAAAGAATTTCCCACTAAGTGAGAAAAGTCCACAAGAATATGGTCAGAAAGTCTTGTGCAAAAGATTTGGGGAAACTGAGGCACTTTGTTGTTTGTTTGGGGGTTTTTGGGTTTTGCAACATTCTGTTGTTTAAGAGAAATTCAGGCTTACAACAAGGGGAAAACAGCATGACAAAGACCAGAAATGCAGATTGGACAGGAGATGGAGACAGCAAAGATTCACAGACTGAAACTACTGATGGTTAAAGACAGCTGCTTCTGCTGTCTTCTAATCAGAATCTGCACCATTGAGCATGGCTGCTACAAATGAGTTTTAATGCTTGTAGCCCTTTAACCACCCTGTTCTGTCAAGTTTCCATGAGCAGGAATGGAACAGCTCCCACTGCCTTACTACAAGTTGCTTCATCTTACTAACATTTTGCTGTGACAAGATTTAGAATTTAGCAAGATTTGGAAGTAATTCTCAAGACTGGCTTCACCTTTTAAGCTTTTATCAAAAGCAAACAAAGCCACCTTAACAAGAGCATGTCATTAGGAGGGGCCAGACATCAAATATGAAAACCTGTTTTGAAAGATATTTTGCCATAATCAAACTCTGCTGAATGAATAAGAAGTCCATAGTAAGTCAGCACTAGCCATCCACAAATTCAGGCCATACATCTACAGACAATAGCTGCATTTATTTTGTTAATGTTTACTTTGCAAACAAAGCAGGATTACATCAAACAGACCAGAAAACCACAGAAGTTTCTTGCTACAATTTCAACATTATCACTTCTACTTTAACTATTTCCGTACCTTCAAAGCAACTTAGAAGATTTCTAGAACAGGCTTCTTTGAAATTACATGGTTAAAAACTTCAGGTATGTGACATTTATGTTCTAAATCCATATATCTGAGCATAAGAAAGCTATAGAGGTTGTACTTTCACCAGGCGTAATAGTTTTCATCACCCTCCTACAAGTTAATTATAGCTATAACATTCTACAACACAGAATTGTGTGGAAAAAAATAGCCAATTTCATTATTACAAAAGTAATTCCTATAATCTGATACAAATCAATCTCAAGTTACTCAATTTGGCTTTCAACACTGAATGAGAACAAGAAAAAATGGCCTAAGAATAAAGAGAACTACCCTGAAACCTTATACCTATTAAAAATTCAAATTCACCGTTCCATGAGTAACCAAAAAACCAGCTATGACTACAGACAGAGCTCAGAAAATATATACTAAATCAACAATTTTTAAATCTAATAGCATTATCTTCAGTACAGGAAGAATTCTGTGATGACATATAAACAGTGGTCAGTGCAAATAACATTGCCTTTCATAACATGGGATCAACCTCTTTTTGTCCATCATGATTAAGAACACAGATCTCTCTTACTCAGTTTACATCCTCAGAAAAACTCTGGCAGGCACCACTGAACAGAGCAACTGAAGGACATGCAACACAAGACTTCAAAGAGCAACCCCCCTGTTACATACATACTTTTATTAGTACCTCTGTGTTACACTTCCTCAATAAAACCTGTTTTACTTCATTACTGTTATTTCATAACAGGGGAAAAAAGAAGTGTCTTCTGTTAATAAATAGTGAGTTTTTCTTCACTAATAGCACATATATAAAATTATTACTCAACATCAAGCCCATATAAAAACAAACTACAAACAATGGTCTGTATGGTTCTGGTTTTTAACAAGGTGACAAACCCTAGGTGAGAAAAGTAGTTTTAGTTTCTTCAGATATAAGTAACTCTGTTTTAGGAGCAGCTCCTTACCTGCTCATAATTAAGTCGCTGAATTTCAGATATCTCTTTAGGTTTTGCGTCAAGAATGTAGTCTCCTAAAAGAAAGCAAAAATGAAAATAAATTTATTCCACAATCAAAGCTTCAACATTTCTATTAATGTCTCTGACTGAAGCTGACTGATAATGAATACCACAACCGAAGTTTTCTACCAAATTAATGAGATCACATTGTTTTATAACCCAAATTATAATTATGGAGTAAAATATGAATATAAAAACTTAGTAAGATTATATTAAGATATAAAATTCAAATGGCCAACTGTTACTAAAGCAACATTTCATAATCTCTTGGGGTATAATACCAATCTCTTCAGTATTCAAAAACTAACCTCCCTCTGTGCCTCAGCTTAAAAATATAAGAAGGTCAAACTGTTCACAGTAAAGTATGTAATTCTGTATACATTTAAAAGACAACCACTTATCCTGACTGATACTGTGAAAGTTTTGCCATGTTTTATACACCAGTAAATCTATAAAACTTGTTGTGCTGGTTTTGACTGGTATATAGTTAACTTTCTTCACAGTGGCTGGTGTGGGGCTGTGCTCTGGGTTTGTGCTGATAACACAGAGATGTTTTTGTTATTGCTCAGCAGGGCTCACTCAGAGCCAAGGCCCTTCCTCCTTTTCCCAGGGCCACAGGAGGCTGTGAGGAGACACAGCCAGGACAGGTGACCCCCACTGAGCACAGGGATGTTCTGTGCTCATCATGTGCCATCATGCCCAGTATATAAAGGGGGGGTAGAACGAAGAAGGGAACACTTGGAGTGCTGGATGGTGTTTTTCCTCCCAAGTCACCACGTGTGACAGGGTGCTGCTCTCCTGAGATGGCTGAACACTTGCCTGCCCGTGGGAAGCAGTGAATTAATTCCCTGTTTTGCTCTGCTTTCCCTATATTGAGTCTTTAACTCAGCCCACAGGTTTTCTGTTGTTTACCCTCCCCATTCTCTACCTGATCTCACTGGCAGGGGAGTGACCAAGGGGCTGCCTGGGCTTAAACCACAACACTTGTATTCCACCTTTGTCTACAATGCAAAGGTAATAAATTAGTTAATAGTTAATCAACACACTGAGGTTCAAGATTTATAACATCTTTAGAGACTAATACCCACTTTCCAGATTTTATTTCAATGTTTTTGTACTTATTCCTTGCTCCATTACTAAAGTCAGAAGAATCTCATTATAAGTTTCCTAATTTATCCTCTTCTAACTTGAAAGTGGTTGAAGGCTGTTTTGTTGGTTTTGGCTTTTATTTTCAGCTGTAGAAGAACTGTAGAACTGCTAATCCTGTTGAGTGAAAACCTAAATAATTTGAACACTGTTTTATTATTCAATTTAGTAAGATAATTCCAGAAGCTAAAATTTCTTTCTTCAGAAAGAATACACATTTAGACAACTGGAATTATGTAGTGACTTCAGACAGTATTGTGTCATCAATGCAATTATAAGAAATGCTTAGACACAGGGAGCAAGATTTCTTAGTTTTTGGAGAAAATTATGTAGGCAACTTTTTTCTTCAACCAGAAGACTCAGCAATTTGCTTCTGAAAAGAACAAGCTATGTTATTTACAAGCAAAAATAAAGAAAATATCGTAAGGGTTTTTTTTTCTCCTGCTTAAGAAAAATCAAACCTAGTCTACTAAGTTCAAACATTTTATATTTGTCAGGCTACAAGGGAAGGAAAAGTGGTACATACAGCTTAAATACTATCACAACTTCAGTTTTAACACCTGGATCATCAGGGTTATTAAAGTTCCAGCCGTGAGAGATACAAAGAGCTGCATTTTTGCTGAACACTGAATATGATACCAGAGTACTGCCTGCAAATGAGACCCCAATCACTGTGAGGACTACATTAATTTTTCTTGTTATTTTAATTGGGTCATACTTCCAATGATTAAAGTTACTATAGACAATTAAAGACAGAGTTGACTTACTACATTCTGTCAACTATAATAAAACAACACTGTAAGAGACATGAATAATTTTAAATCTGTCAATGTGTTGGTGCACTGAGCCATACCAATGGCATAACTAGATCAATCACTTTGGAAAGCAGTGCAGAAAACTTCTAAAAACAGTTAAGGAAAAGCATGAGTAACTGAATACTGTAAGTAGTTTTCTGGAATCAAATAAAAAGCTGAATAAAATAGTAAATACATAAAACAGCTCTATGTTGCCATGCACTATTAAGTACAACATACAAGTGGAAGTGATTTATTGCAATTACTAACCTAAGTATTCCATCAGCTGTTCAGCCGTTATGATTTCCATCATCGGTGGCAGTTTAATCTGTCAAAGAAAAGGTATATTCTCTTTAAAACACCACAACACCACAATTTAAAAAGCATGGTATTTCTAGACAGAAGACTTCTGATTACATTTCCCTCACCAGTTTATAAGGCCATTAGCATACTGGACCTCTACTAAATAGCAGCCACAAGAAGAGATTAAAAAGGCACTTTGGTTTTTAGAGAAACCACATGCACACAGCACTTTCTCCCAGGTGCACATCTGCATAGTGCTCCCTTCTCCCACCAAAACATTTCTCCAGCAGCCCCTCCACTTCACAGGAATCCACTACACTCACTGCAGTGGCTCAACTACAAGCACTCAGAATTAACAGACTGGGAACTGTTAAGAAAACTGCCCTAGAGTCTTTGACTCCCTACCTTTATTAAAATTCTTAATTGAGTATTAAGAGATTAATTTTGAGTATTAGCTCAAAAAGTTCCTTTGTAGAAAGTCTCTAAAGGATCTAGTGTCAGTACTGCTGGGACAGGGAAGCCAAAGACTTGTGCAGGTACAAGGAAATGACCTCCCAGCCTCTCATCCCATGCTCACATTCCAAGGTTTAACCATTTGGTTTAACCCCACACAGAGCAGACCAGACACACAGAACTCTGTGGTGAACATTCTATTCCCCTCTTCCCTGATCTATTCCCACCATAATCCTGGGCTAAAACCAACCACCCTGGCAGAGCTAAAAGCTTCCTGCATTCTCATCTCTTCCAGCATCCTGGGTAAACACTTTGATTTACTGCAGGAAGAAAAGCAACAGGCAAAGCACAAACACATACAAGGACATGCTTCTGGCAATCTGAAGAAATACCACAGGAGGATATAGATCTTAAACATAGTGCAATTTTTCTCCGCATAAATGTGAATTTTATTTTTCTAGGGTTTGGGGTTGGCTTGTCTTGGGGTTGATTTTTAAGCTCTCTTCAGTTTTTAATTTTCTCATCCTATCTCCCTCCAACATCTTGCCATTCAAAGTCTACAAGAGGTATTTATTCTATCAGGAATTTTTTAATCACGTCCCTCAATACTGATCACTGCTGTCCTTGACACATATAGAAAGACATGGCATAAGACTGTTAACTCATGGTTGAGATTTAATAGGTTCCACCTACTTTTCTGGTTTGTGGAGAAGGGAGAAGTAGAAAACCAGGAGATGGAAGAGCAATCTACATAAAGCCTTTGATGCAGCACCCCAAACTCAAATATACAGTATAGCAACACACCACTTTGTTCACATTGTGATGAAGAGGGTTTTCAGTACGAAACGGAGCTATTTCAATAACTTTGCAGGGAAAATGAGGTGTGATTTGGCTACGTCTGTCTTATCAATTTTAATTATATTTGACAAAAGGTAAATGTGTTAAATATGTAGTCATAAGAAATTTCATTACATGTGGAAGAAGAAAGATACCCAAGTTTATATGGCTTTCTTATTTATACTCTAAGAAATATGTCTCTACTTGGGTTAGAGTTGACATTTGCCACACATTGATCAACCCAGATATGGTGGGCTTATAAAGAAACTGGTTGTACTGGGATCTGGGAAAGGAATTAAAGAAGAAAAATCAGGCATGCATGGGTACATGGTTTTTTGAAAATATTAAATGAATGCCAACTGATTGTAACCTACAGAGCTCTCCAACTCTCAAGCTCAATTACATAGCTTACCTCCATTTAAGCTCTATGTATAGAGCTTAAAATAGCACAACATATTATTCATATCACTGGTTAACAAATGGAACTTTCCCTCACAACTGTAAGGCTAACCATTTATTTTTTTACTGCAGAAAAAGCAAAGTGGTTTTACTCATATTTCCAGGATCTCTCAAAGCTGGATATTTTAGCAAGCTACCTCTCAAAATTAACTGCTTGATTAAATGCTAAGCAAAGTTAATTGGTTACTTCATGGCATAATTTTAGGGCTGGCATGTGTAGTGGGACCTTGATCACACCTTTAAAGTGGGCTAATGGGGTTCCAACACATTTTAAGTACTGCTGAACAGAGCTGACTTAGGGATATACAGAGAACATGACATTTCCCAGCTGTTCAGAGCTTCACTGCAAGCACTTAAGCAACAGGAAATGCACAGTGAAGAGGAAATGGGAGAGAAAAATACCTTAGGAATTAAGGGAGGGAGAGCAAAACATCATACAGAACCACAGTCATTATCCAGATAAATCAACAGAAGAAAACAATGTAAGCAACAGTAGTAGAAGCTGCTGTTGTCCATAACAAACTATTATTTTGAGGGACACATTTTCGCAATAGGTTTCAATGTTTAGTTGCTAGATTTCACATCAATTCCACATTTTAGGAAAAATGCATTTCCTCAACTCCCACCCACTTCCTGTACCCCTCTATTGCAGTTTCCTGGTCCTTTGCTCTGATGGCTCTTTCTAACTCTAGCTACATTTTACTTCCTACACTCAGGAGTGGGAAACTTAGTCCTTCTCACACAACTGTGGCATGTCGTACAGTTCAGTCATACTTTAATTAAAAGACAAGAGTGGTGAACAAATTTTCATATGGAGCAGATTGTCTAATAAAACTTACGCAGTTTGCATGAATTAGACTATAAACCCCAAAACTACATAATACTAATTTTCCACTATATTCTTCCACATCACAGAAGAGCTTAAAAAAAAATAAGCGATATAGTCATGCACAGAGGATAACACTTCTGAAAATACTATGAATATCAAAAGGGTCCAAGAAAATTTCTAATGGCTTATATAATAAGTCTTACATAAGACTTAAAGTCTCAAAACATGTTTATCTAAAACATGCAACTCCTCTGAACACAGTGCTCCAGAGAGGTATGGGTAGCTTCAAGCAGCTTTGACAAAAAACAATTAATATTCTCTGCAAATCAGTGCCCCTGGCCTGGCAGGAACAGCTTCATGAACCTATGAGAGGTCAGCGTGTGCTCCACTCCATTTCCTCAGTGTCTGCCTTTAGCCAGGTCACCTCCAGCCCCTGGGAGTGGGCTCGTCGCTGTGCTGGGCACGGCTCCAGCTGCACCTGCGGGCTCAGCTCATCCCACAGGTGCCGGAGGAAGGGAGGCTGCCAAGCCCCGCTGAGCAATCTGTGCCAGCTCCGGCCGGGCAGAGCGACAGCGCCAGGGACAGCGCATCACGAGTGAGCGAAGGGCCAGGGCCGGCCCCCAGAGCAGGCAGCGCCGCGGCAGCCCCGGAGCGAGGAGTGGGGATCAGCGAGAGGGAGGGAGCTCTCTGCGCTCAGCTCCTCCCAAAAGGGCCATTCTAATGAAAACATAACCTTAAGAATTTCTAAGTAGATTTTTTTACTCTACTTCTTATCTGAACAGTCAGTTTGGCTACATCTAAGCAAGAAAATGGTTATATAACATTTACTTACATAATTGTTATGATACCTAAATAGGTAATTCGTACAGTTCTAAAAGTTTCCAAAATTTTAGTAGAACTAGGTGTGTAGGGAACACAGTTCCTTCCATTTGTTGAGAGGATTATGACACAAAAAACTTTCAAAGGCATTTTCAAATATGCAATATCACTGTTCTCCTACATAAGGACACGCACTTCTCAAGACAATATTAATATTATTTATACCCTAATTGTATAATGTTTTCCCTTTGCTTATTTTATGTTTCACAATCTTCCCTGGATATTTCAGATATGTAATGCAACATGTTAAGGTTCACAGCATTCTTCAGGTACAAGACATCACATCCTACCTAAGAAGCACAGAGCAGAATCACATGGCACCCTCACTAAGCTTTCAGCATCTGATGATTGCCACATTCCCCCCGCCCCATATTACACTTAATGAAATGCCAGAAGTTATCAGAAAGTGTTGCATGAACTACATCTAACAAAGATCCCAAAAGGCACTTAGAAAAGCCAACTTTGCATTGCTAAGCTCAACCACATAGTGAGCCACAGGCCTGAGCTAAAACTGAGCAGCCTCCAGATTTAAATAAGCTGAAAAACAGCATGCTACACTATCCTACATCAGAGGACACAACTCATGCTTGCACATACATTTAAAAATGCTTGTTTCAATCTCTACTTCTGCTTCATTTCCATCACACAAGTCTAAGTGGTTACGACACTGTTTTGCACAACAGCTGTTCTGCACCACAACTGCTTTTCCAAGTTGATATCATGCTTTTGTTTTTCTTCTTACAACATTTCTCTAACACTCCTGTAGCAGAGCTCCTTGGCTCTCCCTCCTATAAGCTAAACTGCAAGCTACACTTAGACAGGCAGACTGCAAAAACACTTCAAAAGAAAAGTAATTTCATAATTTTAATATTTAAAATACAGCTTCTGCAATCTGTCACCTCAAAGTTTTCTGTATCCTTTGAAAGTGGTGGATAAAAGAGAGGCAGCAGTTTTATCACAAGCTTAGTTTCAAAACCTGGTATTTTCAAAACGGAATTTGAACAGTCACAGTGGGTGCTACTATTTCAGAATTTCCAAAACCCCAACTGCCAAACCAGTACTGCACTTAAGCTGGCTGAGACCAGATCTATCCACAGGATGACCAGAACTCTCAACTCTGTCAGGAAAGAGTTCCAAAAAGGAAAAATGGTGGCTGATAAAGGGAATAGAACCCAAGGTGTAACTGTTTAACTTGTTATTCCCTGATGTGAGTCTGTTTCTCCTCCTCATCTCCTTCTTGTGCTCTCTTTTCCCCATTACCTGTAGCTTCTTTTCACCTAATATGTACTATGGTATTCTCAGTCTACTTTTGCCTGTTTTCATCTTTCAGTCTGCCTTCTTGTTCCCAAATTATGATTACTTGACCCAGCCTGGTGTTCATGTTGGTTCAGGAGGAGTGAGGAGGTGGATGTCCATCCTCAGCCCTCACATGTGGCAAGCTGCTGTCAGTGATGTACAGATGAGCTGCCATCCCAACCACTGTGAAGGTGGTTCTTGACTATGAACTGGGGAAAAGAAAGGCCAATTTGTAGAGGCAGTAATTAGGAAAATCAATTACAAGCAACTACAATATATAACCAAATAACAGGAAAACCCTCAAGCCTATAAATAATAACTTGTGATGACAGTTTCACCAGTTCAGCTGCTTGTCTGCAACTCATGTAAATTCTGCTGAGGTTTTACATAGACAGAACTATAGAAAGCTTCCTGTAATCTGAGCAATAAGAAACAGTAGGGCATTCCCAAGGGGTATTTTGGTTTTTGCCTATTTATAAAACTGGGTATTACCTTAATTCTCACTAATGTAATATTTGATCCCAGCAGAATGTCAGTTCAAATTCTGGTTGGAGAACAGCAGCAGAGGGAGAAGGAAAAATGTTAAGAACAAAACCTCCAAAAACTTGAATTCAAACAACAGGACCAGTGCTGTCCCATTTACATCTTTCATTAAATCAAAGATTAAAAAAGAAGATCCTGTAACTAACAGTTTCTTTTAAAATGTCCCCCCCAAAATGATAAGGAATGGCAAGTTTTTCAAGCCACCCCCAGATGCTAAAGAGAAGCACAGAAAGCAAGTATTCAATACTGAAGCCTGTGACAACATTCACACCCCCTTGAGGATAGCAGAACCTACATAAGGCAGTACCTTGAAGTCACACCCAACTTCCCTCTACTGCTTTTACTGATGCTTAAATACCCAGAGTTTTCTTTCTGATGTCTAAGCTATTCTGCTCAGAAAAAGATGTAGAAATTGTAACTCAACCAAGAGCTTAATCTTCTTCAGTTACCTGCATCTAAACAAATTTCTTCTCATAGTTCCATTTTGACCTTTTCCTAAGTCACCTGTCACACTGCAAACAATATCTTACTCTTCCAATACCAAATTTCTTCCCCTTGCTACTACAAGATAAAAGCTATTCCTGTGAAGCTTTCCTATTTCAGGACTCTGTTCTATCAGTTCTTCAGTCTTCCGGGGCTGAATTGCCAGCATTTCCTGAGACGTGCCCCTCATCCTTGTTTTGCAATGCACTCAACCTTACAGCTTTCCTCCAACAGATACTCCTTTCACAGAGACATGTTAATAACTACATTATGGCTTAGATTTTAATTACTTAAAAGCTTGGGAAGAAAACTACTTTAAGACTACGGGAAGTCCACATGCACAATGGCCATAGAGAACAAGAACTTCCAGGTCTCAGAGCTGCACTTGATCACTACCTGATTTATTAATTAATTTAAATACAATCTATACTGCATAACTGTATGAATGTGTCCCTATTACTCAGGCAGCTAGTTGTACAAATCAGTATTCTGTACAATTCTGCATTTTGTACATCTCCACATACGCTTTATTATATGAAACTAACCTATTTTCCAAAAATATCACTTATGTGCTCAGTGCTATAAATAGTAATCTTTATTTACTAGAAACCTGTACACATCAGTAAGCTATTATACGTTATATATTGTTCAAGTTAGTAAACATCATGGAGATATTTTATTTCTGTTTTAGGACAACGAAGTAAGCCTATATATGACAGCAGCATCTAAGTAGTATATTGGCAACATACTGCACGGCAGTATTTGTTTTCCAAGTTCTGTATGTGAGACATGTGCTTAACAGCAGAAATAAGCCTGACATATTTACTGAAAGAATCGGAGAATGGTTGGGGTTGAAAGAGACCTGAAAGATCATCAGGTTCTAGACCCTCTGCCATGGATAGGGCCACCTTTTACTAAACCACGTTGCCCAGAGACCGAACAAGCCTGGCCTTGGACACTGGTAGGGATGGGGCATCCACAGATTCCCTGGGCAACCTGCGCCAGTGCCTCATCACGCTCACGGGGCAGAATTTTTTCCTTGTATCTAAACTTGCCCCCTGCTTGTTTAAAGCCATTCCCCCTTGTCCTATCGCCACATGCCCTTGTCAGAAGTTCCTCTCCAGCGTTCTCGACAACGTCCTTGTCCCAACCAGCACAAACTTCCCGCGGTGCCCTCACGCCGCGATGGCTCGGGAGCCGCGAACGCCGTCGGCGCCACACGAGCCGCCCGAGCGGCACCGCCCGCCCGGCCCCGCCATGGCGCCCGCCCGCCCCGTACCTTCCAGGCCAGGAGCAGCACGTTCATGATGGCCAGCAACGGGCAGGGGCCGTTCTCGTTCTGGGTGATGACGGGCGTGTTCTCCTCCTTCCAGCGGACCCACTTGATGTGATAGACCGACTGGCCCGGGAAGCGTTCCTTGGAAGCGGAGAGGAGCTGGGAGCCCGCCGCCGGCCTGTCCCCTTCGGGCTCCGGGGCCGGGCCCCCCGAGGAGGCCCCCGCCACCACCGCCTCGTCGGCGTCGCTGTTGAGCTCGGAGCTGCTCGGGCAGCAGGAGTGCAGGTTGGAGAAGGACTCCAGCGAGTCCAGGCTGCGGGACTCCTCCCCCGGCGGGCTGGGAGCGCCGCTGCTCCCAGAGCCGGCTCCCGCGGGACCGCTCTCCGAGGCGGGAGCCGCTCCGGGACTCTCCGGCCCCGCCAGCCCCGCGCCTTCCGCCGCCGCAGCTCCCTCCGCGGCCTGGGAGGGGGACGCGGACTGAGGGGCCGCGGCGGGAGCGGGGGCCGGCGGAGGGGAAGGGCTGCGCCGTCCGCCGCCCTCCTCGGCCTCCCTGCAGCCGCCCTCGCCCGCCGCCACCTCTCCCAGGCGGAGCCGGCTGGCAGCGCCCCCGCCGCCCGTCTGCAGCGAGCCCGGGGGCGGCGGGGGCTGCGCCAGGCTCTCCATGCCTGGCCCGGCCGCTCCGCTCTCTATTGGCACCGCAGCGGCTGCGCCTCCGCCCGCAACGCCCGCGACGCCATCACAGCAGCGGCGGCAGCTCCGCCCCGCCGGGGACGTGCGGGCGGGGGGGGAGCGGCCGCGGGTCACGGCGGGGCCCGGGGCGGGGGGGCCCCGGGGCGGGGCGGGGCGGGCCGCGGGAAGGGGAGGGAAACAGGTGAGTCCGGCTCTCCCGAGTGTTCTCGGCGCTTTTCCTTGCGGTTTCTTAGACACTCGTACTATAAAAAATACGGCTGTGGCGAGTATAATAGATAACTTGAACAATTTGATTGTGAAGACTAATTGAAAGAGACGAAATTTGGGGTAGGTATTAGGAAAGTTTTCTTTACTGTGAGGGTAGTGAGGCACTGGCACAGGTTGCATAGAGAGGCTGGACATGCCCCATCCCTGGAAGCGTTCAAGTCCCGGTTGGACAAGGTCTTGAGCAACCTGGTTTGGTGGGAGTCGTCCCCGTCCATGGCAGGAGGCTGGAACTGAATGTTCCTTAAGATCCATTCCAACCCTTTAACATTCTGTGATTCTGTAAGATTTAATGTGGGTGTATTACTCAGACTTTACCCCAAGGAACCTCTCCTCTCCCTAAAGAAATCTTCAGCTTTTAATAACAAATTTTAAATACTCTTGGGATAATAAGGATTTATCCTGTCATTTTATTCTCAGCAGGTCTCTAATTTGAAGTCTGTAAACACTTGCATCAGCTTCTGCAGCCTTACCTGAGGTACATTAACTGTAATTTTACATTCTATGTGCATTTCCATAACACCTTCTCTTACCTGTATCAGTGACAGATAGAAGTTTTTTATTCTGACACGACAATAGGAATGGAAAAGCACAAATATAAAGGGCTGACAGTAAACTGAGAAACTTGACACAAACTCTAATATAAAAAATAAATCTTTGAGATGGCACAGTTGATAGAAGAATCAGCATAAGGACAAACAAAAGAGGAAACATTTTGCTCAGATGTCTCACATTTATATTTCTACGGGAAGATTTTCCTGTACCCTTGAATTGTGAAGAGACAGTCTCAGAATGACAAGTCCCTGTTCAGTAGGGACACTGCAACTCTTCAAACATGTAGAGCATCGGGAGAAGCTGGTGATGTAAAATAAAACTCTGAAAGTACGTAAATTAGTTTGTGCAAAGAAACAATGTGTCTCTGGTAAGGGGATGAAGGAAACCAGAGCAAAACTCTAAAAGTGAATTAGTTCTCTGCAAGGAAAAGCCATGTATGGGGTGAGTGGACAAAGGACAGCAGCCCGTGAGGTCCGTCGGTCTGTCCGTACTCCGGTGTGGGGAATGCTGCGTAGCGCCGGCCCCGGAAGCGGCGGGGAGGGAGGCCCCGCCCCACCTGCGGGCCCGCCCCAGGGCATGTTCACAGGACCCCGCCCCTTCCGCCGTGCCCCGCCCCCTTGCGCGTGGGCGGGGCGGGGCGTTCCGCACGCTCTGGGCGTGTCCCGCGGCCCCGCCCCGCCGGCGGCGTCTGGCGCGCGCGCGGGCGGAGGGAGCGGCGGCGCGCGGAGCGGAGGGAGGGGGCAGCGCTGCCGGCAGAGCCGTCGATCCTCCCGGGTGATCCGCGGCCGTTCCGTGGGCGGGAACAGTCCTCGGGAGCGGCGGGGGACAAAGCGGAGGGAGGCGCCCAGCTCGCCCCTCCCCATCCCGCCCGGCGCCGGTCTGGGGCGGATGTGCCGTGGGTAGGCGGCGGCGGCGGGGCCTGCGCCCGGTGGAGATGGATCTGGCGGGGACGATAATCCTGCTGTGCTCCTGCGCGGCGGGCGCTGGAGGTGAGGAGCCGCCCGGCCTCGCGGGGCCCTGCTTTGGGGCCGTCTCCCTTCCTCTCTTCCTTCTTCTTCCCTCTCTCTCTTCCCTCTCTCTCTCTCTCTCCCGTCTCCGGCGCTCGGGGCCGGGGGCGGCGGGCCCCGCTCTCCGGGGCGCCCCGGCGCCAGGGCCGCGGCTGGGCCGCCAGCCGAGCTCCCTGTTCCGCCGCCGCTTCAGCCCGCCCGGGCCTCTCCCCCGCCGCCCGGGGCCGGCCTGGTGCCCCACGCCTTCCCCGGGACTTTCCCCGCCGAGGACTGGGTCAGTTGTCCTCCGCTCTTCTTCCCCCTCGGGTCCTTCTCTCCGCGCTCGGCTGTGTTTGTTTGTTTTCCCCTCCCGGCTCCGCTTCCGTCCCTCAGGACTTCCCGCCCGGTCCCGGTGGCCGCTTCCCGGCTCCCTGCCCTCGCGGCCGCTTCTCTCACCCCGAAACCGGGAAGGACGGGCAGGCGGAAAGTGCAGCTTCAGGAAATAAAAGAGGAGCCCGGTTTCTTCCCGAAGTGTGCCCGTGACTTCCAGCAGGGTCTCCGCTCTCCCAGGCTGGGGCAAAACTCGCTTGTGTTTATGGGGACGTGTAACTGTATCGGCTCCCGTTAGGAATTGTTCCTCGGCGTTAGGAACTGGGCAGTTTCTCCACTGCGCCTGGAAATGAATGTTTAATTGATCAAATCATGGCAGAGAAAATAGTTTCGACTTTGTACAGAGAAAGAGTTTCGGGAAGGGTGCACTTGGGAGGGTGTTTCTAGAGAACTGTGGGTGTAACAACTGATAAAGACTTGTTTCCTCTGTTTCGTTTGGCACCTCTGATTTATCTGGGCTCTGCCTCTGTGTGCATCAATATGTAGGTTTATTAACAAAGAAGTTAGCGCTAAATGCTGGTCTTCCACACATTCTCAAAAAGTAACATCAGAGTATGGGAAACTTCAGTTGCTTGTACTTGTGGCTAAGCCGTGAGAAAAAAAGCAGGGTGATTTGCATGGTCAGAAGCCATCCTATTATTTATATGATGAGGAGTGGGATGCACCAAAGAATTTACGTTTTTCTTCGTAAATTTTTGTAAGCTATCGAGATATTTCAGACTTAATTGTTGGCATGCTTTCAAGGCGTCTTTGTTTTCTGAACTAAATGGTGCTGGCACAGAACTAACTCAAAATAATTAATTAACCAGTTGTGAGGGTTGTTTTCACTGTTTAATTCTAGGCAGGCAGTTGTGCCTTAAAAATCGTAGTAAAAATGTGAGGTGCAGTCCTCTGGATGTATAGACGAAAGTTCATGAAATGAATTTCAGAAATTCCTGGTAATTTTTTTCTTTGAGAGAAGAATGGTCACCATAAATATTTCTGGGGACTAGGAAGCAAACAAAACAAAACAAAAACAAACAAACACACCTCACAATTTTTTTCTTTGAGAGAAGAATGGGCACCGTAAATATTTCTGGGGACTAGGAAGCACACTTCACTATTAGTTGGTAGAAGTGCGTGTCTTTGGTGTGTAACAGTGCAGGTAAAACTTTAAAGAAAGATTAATAATGCTGGATAGAAATCTAGTGATAGTGCCAATACACATCTCTAAAATACCCAGTAGAACATTTTTGGTAAAAGTCTGACTGTAATTATGAAAGATTTGCCATAGTTTTGTGTTAAATTAAAATTAGACTTTTAAGTTTAGGAAAGTCTATTTTACCAGTGTTCACATTTCTAGAGTTTCTTATATGCTGCAAATATTTTTATTTATTGAAAAATAGGATGCTTCATTTGCATATTTTTCCTTCTAGGCAGGCACTAATATCTGTGTGGAAAGGGCAAGTTCATGATTCTTAAAGAAGTTACTGTGAGAGCTGTGCAAACTGGAAAGGACTGATAAGAACCCAACAATTTACATTTCATTTATGTGCAGTGCATCTGGTCTCATTAATCTTACACAGATCTTGAAGCTAAGTTTCCTTTATCTGTAAAGTTGTCTGGTTTTAAGCCACATAGGTATTAAATAGTAATCATTTTGAAAATTTCATTTATCTGCACTTTAAAAATAATTAGGAGTTTGTATGTTTGGTCAAAGATTGGAGCATATTTATGGGATACCTGAGTTTGAACTCTTTCAGAATTACACAAGGCCTTGTGCCTGTGTACTGTGCAGGCACTCTACATATTCTTGATATAAAGGTATAGATTAACAGAACCGACTCTAACATTAGCTCACAGCTAAGTATGAATCATAAAATGAACTTCTAAAAAATGATGCAGCATAATTTGGATGGCTTCTTTGAGAATGTTTAGTGAAATCTCTTTGTGTTCTTAAAATTAGGGGAATGCCATCAAAAGCAATCAGTAGTGCTGCTGCACTGTGAAATGTACTGGAGAGTCTGTCTTGGGCTGCTTCATAGCTTTTGGCAGGTTATGTCTGTGTGGTTAAAGCAGGGACATTATCACAAGTTTGGCCTAATAGGCCCAGAAACATTCTTGATCAGGTTCTGGTATTAGATCACTTTAGGGTTTTCTTCTGCTTTCTTTGCTTCCACTGCATAAATATCACCTTCATAAAACCAACGGTCCAGCAGGTCAGCTTGAATACTGTTTCAATAGTATAAGAAGGAAAAGCCACACAACATGTATTTTGTTTTCTTTCTGTTAGTAATTAGGGAAAGCTAGAATTTAGTTTCTGGTATATGGTGTCTACTTGAGATAGGGTATATGTACCTTGACTTTTAAGAATTCTTTTTTTAAAAGTGAATCTCAGCATCTTCCCAACACCCCTGGAATTGCTTGGCTTAAAGCATCTCTTCACTCACTGCTGCTGTCATGAATTTTGATGTGTGTGAAGTGGTGCTTCAGTTGGGTAATATTATTGGCAGCTTTTTGCTGCGTGCTTTGTTGCATGTGATGAAGATGCATGCAGGTATATTAATCAGTACTTAATTATCCAGACATAATGGTGTTCATAGAGGAGTGGAAATAACTAATTTAACCTCTCCTTCTACCTAAGGGTCGTTAAAAAAAGGGAAAGAGCAATAGCAAACACAAAGGAGAACTGTTGAGGTCTCTGACAAGCTTGGATTTAACAAGAGTGACCATGCTTTGGCTAGGCTGATGAAATGCTAAATATCATTGCAAATCTATGATAAATAGTTTCTTGTCACTGGTACAATATGCTCTTTTTATGTTGCTGGGATTTCCAAGTTGTATCTTAGTGTCTTGTGCTGCTGGATTTGAACTGCCTATTTCCCAGTGAGCATGGGAGAAATTCTGCTTTTTTTCTGGACACATGGGGGAGTTGTGGGAAGGCATTTATGAGCTATCAGCATCTGAGTGATTTAGTTGTGTTCTTATTATAAATTGAGAAGAACAGTATCCTTCATAAATATGGCAGCATTCAGCCTCCAGCATTTATTTGGAGTTGAAAATAAAAACATTATGGCTGAGACAGTGCCTAGTCAAGACAGCTGTCAGATGGTTGTTTCAGAAATGCCTGTGGTAATTAAAAATAAATAAAATCAGGTGTTTAGGTGATTGCTTTGAAATACTGTTGCCCAAAAGCCTCATAGTGCAGTTTGTTTATACTTCTAAAAGATGCAAAAGTTCATGTTGCGGTATGGCAGAGCTGCTGTACTGAGTTACTGCTGTCTGGTGGTCCTGCCCTGGCTGTGCACTCCCACCTCTCCTCCTGGCATGAGAAGTCAATCCAAAGAAAAAAAACAACTCATCAGTTCCT